TCCATGAGTACTTGTATCGGTAAGTTTGTTCTATCTTTCAGGTCCCCATCTTTGGATAGCTTCTTCTGTATGATTTAAAGTGCTTCTTCGACAGGAACGTTGGTGTAGAGGCTTTCCAGGTCGAAACTGATCAGTTGATCCTGCTCTTTGATTTCGATTTCGCCTAGTAGTTCAACGAAATGCCTTGAATTTTTCACAAAAGATGATGTTTTACCTTGCAATTGATTGATTATTGGTAGTAAAAATCTAGACTAGTTCTGAGTGGCTGAATTTCTGGAGCAGTTTTTTGTTTAGTAAAATTGTTATTTTCGGTTAATCTTTTTAATTTTTTTTCAGGGATTTCAAATCAATGTATATTATACTAGACAGTGGAAGTCCGAACTGATGAAATACACCACAAAACATTGTCAACCACCTCCAAACAAACCTCAGAGCAGATATTTCATTACTCGGAGGCCGAAACGTATCAATCAAACAATAAAGACTTTTCAACACACGATTTCTGTCGTACATTTCAATCCTCTGCATTCGGTAAGATAAACCTTTTCGAAGGTCTGCGATTAAACCGCATGTGTAGATTACAACACGAAAGACATGATGTATTTGTGCGAGTCCTAATTCCTTTGAATGTACTTTAATCCTTCTCGCAGGGAACAGTTTTCGGTCGAGAGATTCGTCCGAAAATAGTGTAATGAATTTACACAAAGCACACGGCAGCCGCAAACAAAACCACTGAAAATTATCACGGTCGACGGACAAAGCAGATTTTCACGATTTTTTAATCGTTTTAACCCATGTTCAACTGATTTTCTCTTGTGGGAACGCTCGCATCGGTTACAGGATTATCACACGATTCTTCCTAGTCATTTATTTTCGCTTGTGGAGTGCACACAAATATTCGATTGATGAATATTTTTCCGAAGGACTTATATAAAGTATGCTGCATTAAGTTTGAAACTTGCATACATGTCTGTCACATAAAAGTCAAAGTCCATCGTATTATTAGCCAGGGAAGTAGTTGTTTTACGAAAGGCTTTCACCACATTCCACTGTGGAGAAACTTTGGCGATAGGTGAATGTTTGGAAATTTCTTATTGATTTTACCAGTGAAATTTGGTGATAAATTGTTAAAACGATTTATCGATTCATGATAGCCTCTTCGTTCTCCAAATTTTAGTCCACACGATTTTATCCAAAAGGGTATTTTGAAGCAAAACATATACAAGGGTCGACCTTTCACTAGTATTGCAGAAAAATTCTCGAAAGGATGTTTAAGTAAACAATTTGATGCGTCAAACAAAACAATAAATGTATTGAAAAACATGGATGGTTTCTTTGTATTTATCTAGGTTGTGCGGTAAATAACAGTACGACCAGCTGTCTAAAGCGCTCGCAGATAATTAAATTATTGCGGCCTTACTAATAGACCAAAAAAATGAGAGATGTCATTGAATCAGATCATCTAAATTAGTATTCACCCATTTTTAGGTTATAGCTACTTCAAATTCCAAAAAAATCAAAATTGCTCTGTGGGTATTTACTCTATTCTATTTCCAATGCCTTTTTATATAACACCAGTTGTTGTCCGCGGCTTGGCCCGCGTAGAATTTGGTTTGTCACGTGACATACCATTTTGAACAAAGAGTTACAATATTTTTATATCAACCCAAAACTTCACGTTTCCAACTTAAAAACTGTCTTTGAACCCCTGTTTTTCTCCCCTGGGTGTGGAAATTCCTGAGTCCCTTTCTTGATGCTAATTTACGCTATACAAAGAACCTACCTGCATATTTCAAGATTCTAGTTTCAATAGCTTCGGCTGTACGTTAATATAAGAGCGGGCAACAGCTACTAATTTAATTTTTACTTTAAAAATATATTAACTAAAAAAAATATGCCAACTGTACCAAGTAATGAATAGCTTCGAGAATTGAATTATCTGACCTATACAGAAATTCGCAAAACTTACACAAGTGTCAACGACGTCCCACACGTCTGCCTGCGTTCGGATCGCGTTCTCGGTGGTGACGCTTCATTGCTTAGACCCCCGCGTATCGTCCCCAGTCGCCTTACAGTAGACGCGATGCATATCTTACAGCGTTACGTCAAGTTAATCTTATCGTGATAACTTTTAAACGATTCGTCCAAATTACTTAGTGTAAAAGACAAAGTTTATCTATATTAAACACTTAAAACGATAGCTGTATCAATTTTTATAAGAATTTGGCAGATATTCTTGAATGTGCATTGTAAAAAAAGTATAACATTTAATTGTATTAATGGCTCAGTATTTTGCTTAGAGCGGCTACCACATGTAACTCCAACGGTATAGGCAGCACATGTCAAAATAGCTCTCAGGGAACAAGAATTTTTTCGAATAACTTAATACTTATCATTAAATTATGACCAAAATTACACAAAATTTTCGTAAATTGTAGCCTATATGTTATTATGATGTATAAGCTGCTTTATGTAAAGTTTCATTTAAATCCGTTCAGTCGTTTAGGCGTGGAAGAGCCACAAAAATACATACATACATCCATCCTCATAAACTTACACATTTATATTAGTATACATATAGTAGTACACGTATACGTTAGAGGCACTTGTTATTCTATCCATGAACTCTGGAATTGACTGCGGTGGTGTAACGTAAACTTTAGATTTCTTTAATCCCCACAAAAATCTAAGATAATCATATCAGATAATGCAGCGGGTCATTATAATGGACCATGGATATCTGAGTTTGGATAATTGTCATCTACTCATTTTGGAACGAAATATCTCGTACGCAGGCGGAAAGATCACCCGAAGACGATTGTGGATACTAACAATCGAAACGTCGTGACATAACTTGGTTTGGAATCTTTTAATTTTTATTTTTCATTTTTAATTAATAATAATTTTTAACACAACACAACAAAACATGCGACTCAGACTAGTTGTCTGTTTGGTGGAATTCATGTTTTGAGTTTGTTTCCGAAACTTAAACAAGTTTTTTGTTTCTGTTTTCGAAAACGAAACTATTCGCAAATTAGTCATTGAAGTATGCGATACACTACCACAGCTCATTTCATCATTTCAGAACTCGTGAATAGAAAAAAAGAACATACTTTCAACGAAATTGTCCAGAAACATTTCATAATGTAAGAAATAAATTTGTAATCAAACGTCATTATTATCAGGAACAAAATAGTGAACATTTCGAACATTTACTGAACTAAACTGGTATCGATAAATGTTTGTTTCTTAAAGAAAACTGTATTTGTCGAAACCGGGAGATTAATCAGCGTGACAAAACAATGAGTAGGTATGACGAGAAGGGGGGGATATTTGCGTCCGCACTGTATATTCCGTAATACTCACGTTCGTTTTCTACTATTACGAAAATTTATTATTCCAGAAATTTGAATGTGAATACCCGGTTGAGATATAGCTTCAATTTTTTGTTGATTTGATTCGAGTCTAACTGTGGAATATGACATTTGTAAAACTTTACTCTGGCGCATTTAATGAATTATAATCATACCTTCATTTCTATTATATATCACCATCGTTGAAAACACGCAGCTTTTTTCCATAATCGTATTAAACTTCACATTTTCAATAATCGAAAGTAGGTAAATCATAGCCAACTCCTTGTTGAGCGTAGAACCGATTTTCAGAGAGAATATCAGAATAAATGAAACGTACGTAGAAAAATCAAATTTGTATTCAAAAATTAATTTTTATAATCTCATGCAGTCTGAAAACATATCTATATTAGTTAACTCGCTGTACCTATGTACAACTATCAAGGCTGGGTACCTACCGATAAAAAATGTGTTTTCCATATACAAATGTCAAATATTCTTAATGTAAAAACTGAAGTAAAAATTATTGCGGGCCCTTTCCAAAAATACTCTAATCCCACAAAACCTAGCCATTCCTCAGATTGAGTTAAAAATAATTGAAATTAATGCCAATGCGGGGTGATGCAGCATACGTTTGTTCGTTTGTAACTAGTCCTGACCACAATCACGGAATGATAGGTATTCGGTGGCAGAGTGCTGTCATTACATTCATTCTTTTAACAAGAGTGACTCAGGTGATGGAATCGAATAACTTCATTGATTACTCCATAATCAAGATGTTTTGAAAGTTCACGAATTTGGTTGAATTTGAAAGACAAAAAAGTCTTCATCAAAAAAACATCAGTCTTCTGAAAAAGTATTTTCGAAAGTTGATGTTAATTGAGTTCGAGTTACACTAACGTCAAGCCACGTTCAAGTTAACAAATATTTTTAATAGGATCAATTACCGATGAGGGTTGTTAATCAACGAAGAAATAATTTGGGTTGTCAAATTATTTTGACGATAGGTGTTCTTCCTATAAAATCAGCCTTTTTATTGTGATCTATTCCTCTGGAGCTGAAGATAGAGATCATATTTTCAAAAATCTTCGAATAATATGCTCTACTCTGTGATTTCGGGTCAAATACAGGGTTGCGTTTAGGCAACGCAGTTTATAATATTTCGATGATGAGTGCCAGGTTGCATATATTAGGGTTTTTTTGTTATTTTGTATAATTATCACATTCGTCTTCATTGTGTTGGTTTTATGGGATTTATTTGAGACTTAATTTTTTAATTATGTATAACAGAATGGTGAGTCCGTTGGTTACGTCTTTCAAACTTCAAAATTACATACTTCAATTTCAGCTATGACTACAATTGGTAATGTAGGAATTGGTCTCTTTGTTTTGATTATACTGTGGATAATTACCCTCGCAATTTTTGTCATTGGTGTAAAACTCCAAAGCAATATATCTTGGATTACCTTGGGATCAGCTACTGCAATAACTATAATCCTGCTGATAATACCTACAGATAAGGGCACCCCCATCGAAGAGTTTGATGTTGTTGTGAGTGCACCGATCAAATAATAATGATCATAATTATACTTCTTTATATTTCAGGAAAAAGACTACTGTATAATATACAAAAATCTCCTCCTTTCCATCTTATTACTCAGCTGTTTTGTTGGCTTTATTTGTTTCTTTGTGTTCCACTGCATAGAGCCAGTACGGCCAAAGCCCATTAAAAGTTTTTATTACGAAGACTGAGAATGAATAGAATAGCGCGTCTGTTATATTGTCATTCAAGGACGTTCACTTCAAGCAACGTGTTGAGCAGAATTATCAACATCAAAAACAATGATGAATTCCTCTCGAAAGTGATGCACTCCGACAACCCAGTCATTGTTAATTTCCACGCTGAATGGTGCGAACCTTGTCACATCCTAACCCCAAAAATGAAAGAACTTATCGAACCTAAGGACAATATCGATCTAGCCATAGTGGATGTAGAACATAATGCAGAACTGGTGCATACTTTCGAAGTGAAAGCTGTACCGGCAGTGATTGCTGTGCGAGACGGACTGGTAGTTGATAAGTTCATTGGTTTGGTGGACGCTAACATGATAGAAAGTCTGATAAATAAACTGGACAAAAAACTGTGAACAGTTTCATATATTGTTATGAATTTGAATGTATTTATATCAGTTGAATGATAAATAAAATTCTCAAACAATCTGTTTGTTTATCAAATACCAACAAAATAATAATAACCTTTACTTTCCTTCAGAAGCAACATATAATTGTATATTTTTCAAAATCAACAATACTGTGGAAAAAACGATTGGGTAACACAATGTGCAGCCTAGCTTTAAAAATTCAAGCAGTACAAAACTTTTTAGGTAATAGCTGGAGCGTATATAGATTTTATGAGGTCTGTTCAGTCCTTCTTGTGGAATGATTATTAATTAGTACATATCATGACACAGTGATATGGAGCTACAAAAACATATGATTTTGAAATGGACAAAACGACTGAAACGACCTGATACTATTATAAAGTTTCTTCTGCAACACTGTTTCTATAATTTTGAGTTATATATTGACACGGCAGAGTCTTTAACTTGTCAAAGACCTCATTAAATCACCATTTAGTTGATTTTATAATTGTGCTTTCAATTAACCTACACTCTTATCTTTATGTTTAGAATTAATCCACTTTTATTATTTTTTAGATGAATTTATCTTTGTTAACTCCAAACAAGGATTTCTGTATTTGTGACTTGCCATAAAAGTATTATAGTATGTAAAATGGTCAAATAAAGTACTCTACTCTACTCTGTTCTTTTTTTGAATTGGTCATATTTGCTCAAGGTTTCATTTATCATTTACGATTTCAGAAGTTGAAGATTCTTCACCACCCCCATAAGCTGTCTCGAGTTGCAGAATACTTCTAAATTGGCATTTATATTTGTTTTCAGAATATGGCCATGAATTCTTCATACCTTTTATCACCCACCAGTTGAAAGTAATTTTGGAAAACAAACATCTATATCAATCTTTATTCAACATGTTTTCTGCAATTACAGTCCATAACCTCGAGACAAAAGTTTCCCAACGAGAAAAATTGCATCCCATAGATCGCGATACAAATTGTCCCATAAGTCAACGTTGTCCATCAGACTGATCATTTTCATAGGTCCTGTATGCTATAGGTCTGTTTTTTAAATTGACTATGAATGAAGCAAAAGACTAAGGTGTTGCTCAAACGCTTCCAACTAGTTACCTTGCAGTAAAAGAAAGACGTCGTCAAAGTATGGCGCTTTGAAACCGACAGCATTGGCAAGAGCCTCCTTTATCTTCAAAATTCGATGTTGAGTTCTCTGCCGATCTCATAGATGGCGCCGTCGACCTTACTCACTTAGGCTTGTGTTTTAAGGACCGTCAGTTGGGTCCAGCAACGCATTTGTGGTTCAGCCTAGCACCACTGATAACACCTATGGTATTAAATCATAAATTTATTGTGTTTGGGATTGTTTCCACTCTAGTAATAGGGGAGGAATGGAGGATGCAGGATGAAAATGTTCAATAAAAGCACTGGATATTCAAATCTTTTCTCAATGATTTGTAATACTGAACTTGCCAGCAATAATAGTAGAGAGGGTTAGAAAAAATGTCATTTCAGATATCAGATGAAGTGCAATAAGAAACGCTGTACTATTTAACCAAATATGTACACTTACAAACAATCAATAACAATTAAACACACTATATACTGAAAATACAAAAATATTTTCTCTTAATATAATAACTTGATCACAGGCTACACAATAAAACCGTTGAGAAGCACCGTCTAATCTTCATTCGAAATTAATGTTCTCGAACTTCTTGCTATCGATTTCTGGCATATCCTCGTTGATATTTAGCCTATCTAAATCCAGTGCTAAAAATTAATTTATATTGAAAAGGCCCAAGTAAATTTTCTTGTTTTTACTTACATTCTTCCTCCTGTAGGTGCCTTTCAATTTCTTTGAACTGAGAATAGACTGTTATATATTTTTCTGCTAATTCATAAGAATGGAATGCCATCAAACTCAGCATCTTCACCGTTATTTTATTTTTGAAAAATGTATCCCATTCATCTGAAAAATACAAAAGTTGTGTAACAAAAAACCTAACGTCATAAGTACACAAATAACAAGTTTTTATTCAAATTACAATGCTAAAGTTTCCTCAAGCAATTAAATTGAAAATGGTTCTATGCATAATTCAGGGGATATCTCTCATATTTTTTAATCTATAAAAAATTTGAAACCAATTCAGAGGTATACTTGATACATGATGGTTCTAGTGGCATATAATTTGAAATTGAGGAAAACATCCCCATTACTTTCTACAGAAAAATAGAACGCACACAAGTAACTTCAATATTCACTCACTTGTACTTTGCCCATTCTTGAATTCTTTATGTCGTTCTAAAGCTCGGTATAAAATTTCTACTTCTAATTTGTACAACTGAGGAAGGCATTCACACCTGAAAATATAAACGTAACAGCACTATGAAAATATAAACCAATAATTTGTCTCACTCTTTCGCATTCTGGTGATGTACAAAAAAAGAGGACTTGTAGGTGTTGTACATAAAGCACAGCAAATTCAAACTGACATCTAGTGGGATACTATTTAACTTGTATATACACCTGTCAAACATAAGGCCGAAGATATAGAAGCGACAGGCATCTGAAAATAAATTTAAGAAAACAAAAATTCTAAATTAATTTGGAAAAATAGCTAATGTTTGTATAGATATATTCTCTGATGAGTGAATTTATGTGTATGCTGATTTATCTTTTTTTGTAGCTCTGCTCGATCTTAGTTATGTTCTTAGTTGTTTTTTTTTTTCTCCCTACTATTAATATTGTATGATTCTTGGGAAAAACGATAAGTTTATGTATATTCTGTATTATATATGATATTAATTTATAGACATTTTTCAACAGTTTCATAAGAAAATATTTCTTTATTATGTTCATACACGAAACTGACGAATCTGTGAGTTATGTGAAAGATTAAAAATATACCCTGTTGAAGTGAAAATTAATTTTGTAAGTGAGAGGTGCAATAATGCCACTTGTAACGAATTTATGATAAAAATCATATGTAGGTTTATGAGCAAAAGCTTTTGTGACATTAATAAAAAAAGATTTCCATACATAAAATGTTTATTTATCCTAGACTGCTATATTTCTACTATCTGCTTTTTGTACAAATCTGTTATTATTTGATTTAAAAACCTTTCTTGAACTCTATTTATCTGGTTCAAAGTCACAATTGCTATATTACTCAACTCACCATTATTGAAATAAACAACTCCTTTTTTGGTAGTGGAACAACTTTTCGCTTTGTTCAATAGGAATTCGATAAAAGACGTACACTGAGATGCCTCCTTGAACAAATATGTTATATCAAGAACAATCTGTGGAGGAGGCCTAAGAAATATCAGCTCTCTAGTGAAGGAACAGACCAACTCGGGGCTGAAAAGAAAATCAGCTAATAAACGATTAAATCACTTTCCTCTTCAACTTACACACATTCATATTTCTTCAGTTTACAAATGTTAGTGAATACTGTCAGTGATGATCTTAGGAACGTCGACATTGCCTCTGCTTTTCTCTAAAAATATACAGAATTAGGAGTTTCGTAATACTTCTGTGCAGATACCTACAATCTCACCAATAATTTTGGCGATGTTGATGAGTTTATTCAAAAAATGAAGCCCAGTATGAAACCTTTTTGATAACATGTACGGCAACTGTTTCACAATCGAGTCTTGTTCCGATAAATTGATTAATTTTTCTCCAAGGATATACCTACTCAGATACTCGCAATATGGAAACAACTCGGCAAGAAAGCTTACGACTAGTCCAGATTTCATACCCATTTCATCTCTGTCAAAAACAAAAAAAACTAGTTCAAACTTTAAAAAAAAATTATTATTAATTCACCTTTTACATGACTTGTCCAAGAAATTCTTCTTCAAATAAATAGAGTCAGCTTCTAAAATGTCCTCGGTACCCAAATTATTTTTGATTCGTTCCAATAAGTCTTCCAAATCTGTGAGCAACTGCAGGCTTATGCAGACTACCTGAGATACAATGATTATGATAATAATTTCACTGCCCATGTTATCAAAAACATCACGTGGGAAACATTAAAAAAACGGTATTGTAATGGAGCTGGGTAGCTAAGGTGAAGTCAAAAGTACAAAGGATAGCCCCACAAAAGTGGATTACCTGTTGGTAATCTGAATCAATAAAAAGCAAATCATGTTCCTTGATATTTTTAACCTTCCACGATCTAAAATATTGATAAATTCAAAATGTTGATAATAAAAGGACCTAGACTGTTCGATTTTTGGTGTCTTACATATTCTAACAACCTACTTTTCAAGTAACATCCTGTTTGTCCCACGAACTATTTTGAGTATTTTTGGAGTTCAAACAAACTGAAAAGGAAAATGTCATTTTCGTGTAATTCAATGTTTATAGTTTTGAAGTGGCTGTTTCAAATGGGTTTTTTCTTTCAATTTGTATCTGAAAGAAACTTTTCTGCATGATCTAAACATCTTTGTTAAGGGTTTATTTTCGACTTAACTACTTTCCTTTCTTTGTGAGTTTCCAATATTTTTTTTATAAATATGGCATAGAAAGACAAAAAACATTCAATTCACAAACAAATCTCTCTTAAATGAAATATAAACTATTTTGGAAGCTATCTCACCTTATTGATATTCGTGATGTTTTCCCTCATATTCAACTCTTCTTTGGTGCACTCTGCCAACTCAACCATTACAGGAATAACGTTATCCATATCCACATGACTTTCCTCAACCACTACACTGGTAGATACAGTCTGATTTTTGAGGTAGGGAATAGCATTCTTGGATGAATGTGTCAGTTTGTTTTCAATGATGTGCTTCTCAATTTTTGGGTTATTCAATGTCATTTTCGATACCAGTCTCTTCAAAGGATACACTAAAAAACTTTAATTATCAATAATGTTTCGAAAAAAAGGTTCAAGATTGTTAACCTGGATCTGCGATTATGTGGAGTTTGTCTTTTGCTGCTCTGGACTGTTCTGTGACAGTTTTTACTACTGTCTGCTTTATAATTTGTTTGCTTGTTCCCATCTTTGAAGTGTTCATTGAGGCATTGAGAGAAAACTTGGAAAAATCCACCACTTTCTGACTCTGCTTCAAATTCGCTATCTCAAGATTCTACAATAATAATAACAATAAATGATCAGGAGCATAATGTGCTTTATGCATTAAGCAACCAGTTGAATAAAATATAAAATACTTATATACCGTTTATATCAATAAATAAATAATCAAAAAATAAATGAGTTTATTCATGTGTTTTTTCAAAATGACTTACTTTAAACTCCAGTTCACTTTTCATAGACTGAATTTGCTTTTCTTTGATACCCAATTTATTTTTCCATTCACCCTGAGACTTCTGCTGTTCAATATTGATATGCATTTTAGTCTCAGAAAGTTGATTCCTCAAGATAGATATTTCTCCAGCTTTCTCCTCGCATTGCTGTTGAAGCCTTTGGATTTCTTTTTCATAATTGATTACATTTTCTTTGTTCAAATTCGTCTTGCTTGTTCCAGGTCGTATGCTCATTTCGAACTGAGTGGAAGAACAAATTTTGCCTGGTTCTTTGAAAGCATTATAACTCGGTAGTATACTGGCATTCAAATTGTCTTTATCCTAGAAATATAAGTCGAAGATCAGAGTCAACAATAATTTATTTATCACTGTAAACTTCTGTACAAATATAAAAAGGACTAGTTAATGAATTTATCTGTCTAAAATTTCTGACCTATCTTTAAAAAAATAATAGCCGCCTCATTGATAATTAGAAACCTATACTTATAGTACTTATAGTGATCTGTAGAGTTTTCAAAAAGCATACCCTACTATCTCAAAAGAGGGTGGAGCTCTAGCACTTTTCAATTTTACTACCCACTGTGGGAAACTGGGGCAAACTGTTTTTTTTTTTTAAATGAACACATTGCTCAGATATGTAGATTACCACTAGAAAAATAAGCATTGAGAAAGTATTATTGATTACACAAGCCCAAAATATACAATTGTCAATACATATTTTTCAATTGTCTGATTGAAAAAAATAAACACCACTCAATCTGCCTATATAAGATGTTATTAATGTCACACAAAGAGTGTAAACATTAAGGATCCCGAGATTGATCCCTGAGGTACTCCAACTCTCACAAGTTTCTTCCGATCAGAGTTACAAATTATAACAATTTACATGTGGAATACATTGTAAAGTGGTGAACTCACTTCATTCAGGACTTGGGTGGCCCGGTTGATACAATCCTCCAAGATACTATCATCGAAATCATCGCCCCACAAGGCATCAATATCATCATCCAATTTCTGCTTCTTGGTGTTCTTCTCTATGGAATTGGAAACTCTTTTTGTCATGGTGGTTTAAAAACTACAAAAACAACATTATACAATAAACTAAGAATCAACAAATATTACACAAAACAAATTTGAATTTAGGTTAGGATCACATGTTGACAGCTGTCAGAAACTGAATCTACAGAAAATCACATATGAAAAAAAATCAGCATCGTTCGTTTGTATTTCTCAGAAACACCACTTCTTAGCTGAACTTCTAACTGAACTATTGCATAACGAAATACGGGTTGCGGTTCAGTAAAGTGAACTACAGTCCCAGCAGCCATGTAACCTATCGAGATCAGTTCACGATCGACTAGATATCGTTTTCTTTACTAATGTAAATGATTTTTCTTCAGCTCTAGTTGTATTCACAGAATTCAGATTAGGTCTCAGTGAAAATGAAAATACTCCTGTTATCCAAAAGAATGCAACAGCGGGTAATTTCAGTCTGGTCATCGGACTTTTAAGGCATAGTAATTTCAACCCAATTGTGGATGGGCCCGCCCCAGGTCCACTTAAGTGTGGCCACATTTGGATTTAACCAAATACCAAATAAAATACCAACTGGCCGGATAGCCTTAGATGCTGAGGCCATTAAACCGACAAGAAGAAGAGGAAATATCGAAACGGCAACACTGGCCGATGTCCCATAAAAGTAAGGTTATATACGTTAAATTGGTTGAAAAATAATAACAAATAGTAATTAAAAAATGGACAACAAAGTATGTGTTAAAAAACCCAATAAACTCAATGAAAACGAAGATTTTGAAAAGTATACCAAGGAGGTTGTAATTTTTTTTGTAACGAAAAGTTCATATAAATTTTCTTCAATGTTGAAATTTCAGGAGTTGATCGAGAAAATGAAATCCATAACGGCTCATAATCAACAGTTGAAAAATATAATAGCGAAATCATCCCTTAGTAAGGAGCAACGCCAACAAAATAATCTTAAACCATTCAACTTTTCCAAGTAAGTTTTTCTTTCATAAAAAAATGTCTTGTTTCTTTAATTTTCAATGTTCAGAGTTTCCAACCTTCTGATTCTCAAAGGTTCAAATCGAACTAATTTTTTTGGCTACTTGAGAACCCTCAGAATTCTCCTTTTCCATGTCTTTGGAAAACGCGGTGCCTCACAATAAACATGACGAACTGTCCTTGTCCCTTTGTGCACTGTATACAGACAGCTAGATTTTTCATTATACAGCCATATTATGTTCAGATGTCCTCTAAATGAACAGTTTCCAGTGACTAATGAAGTTTTTCCTTTGTGTGCCCAGATGTCATTTTTCAGAGTTATATGGGCTGTATTTCAAATACATGAACTATTGGAAAAAAAGCTGTGGTCAAATAATTATTCAATAATGAAAAACTACATTTTGAAAACATTTTCTTAACAAAACAAACTTCCAAATGAGTTTTCATTGAAAATATAAACAGTGGAATAAGTGAACTTTTTGATGTTATTTTTAACATAATTTCTGGACCGCTTAATATATATTTTCAAAAGACTTTACTAACGAAATCTGAAAATAGAAGACAATACATCGCATTTTGTTTAATACCTAACTTTGATACACCATGTCTCTCCAGGACACTCTTTAGAACAATATTTATAAAAGCCCAATACATGAAACCTTTATAAAAAACATTTTTTGATAACTTCACTCCTTCGTCTCAAACTTCCAAAGGAAGCCCAATGTGACACACACTGTATAATTATATGCATAATACATGTTAAAATATAATTCTCTTCTATACGTCCGTGGTGTACTTGAATAAAATAACATCCAAAACCCCTTTTGCAGATGTACCGTCAAACATATTGCTCTCAAATTGTACTACCTTGGTTGGGAGCACAAAGGATATGTGGTACAGGAAGATACCACAGATACCATAGAACATTACCTATTCGAGGCTCTTCTCCGAACAAGGCTAATTAAAGATCGTCAGTCATCAAATTATCACAGATGTGGTCGAACTGACAAAGGGGTCAGTTCGTTTGGTCAGGTGATATCAATCGATGTGAGAAGTGCGCTTCCCAAAGGTGCAGATGACTTGACGAAAGAAATAAACTATTGCAAAATACTGAATAAGGTTTTACCCAGCAGTATACAGTGCGTTGCCTGGAGTCCAGTTGATGAGAGCTTCAGTGCTAGGTTTGACTGTAAAACCAGGAGCTATAAATATTACTTTCCAAAGGGAAGTTTGGATATTGAAGTAAGGAATGAAAACTGGAATTATTGGTACTGTCAGATTGATGAGAATCATCGATCTGTCCTTTGTGGAGCGTTTCTTTTTTTACAATGGTTTATCTGATTTCAGAGAATGAAAGTTGCCTCAGAAAAGCTACTCGGAGTCCATGACTTTAGAAATCTTTGTAAAATGGATGTTGGTAATGGTGTGACAGAATTCACTAGGAATATTTTGAAAATCAGTATCGAAAAGAGAAGCAAAGACGATTTGGAAAATGGTAAAAGAAAATGAGTATTCTCCAACATCTATGATTTTTTGTTATTCCAGATTATACAATATATGTGATAAATATCAAAGCAAAAGCATTTTTATGGCATCAGATCAGATGCATTATGGGAATACTGTTTTTAATCGGGCAAAGGAAAGAAGAACCTGATGTTATAGATGAGCTGCTCAATGTAGAAAAAAATCCTAGGTGACAATACTTATTGTGAAATAACTTTTTTTCTATGAGAATGATCATTGTTTTGTTTACATTTCTTTCGTTTACAGAAAACCAGAATATAGTATGGCAAGTGAAATTCCTCTGAACTTATATTTTTGTGAGTATGATGGTCTCAACTGGCAGTATGACAAGGAAGTCCTAGACCAGATTATAGAAAAGTTGAATTCTATTTGGACATTTCACGCAATAAAGTATATATTTTAGGATAGTTAGTAGTTCATATTTTCTAATTGAAATTATTCTTTAGGAGTGAAATGGTTAAGGACATGGTCGCAAGCTTGGAAACCGATAGGAAAACTTTGAGCATAGACTGTAATAAGGAAGAGAAATGTCTCAGCACTAATCTTTTTCAGAAGCCAAGTTCAAAAATATACATTCCCCTAATGAAAAGGCATACTTGTGACAGCTTGGAAGATAAAATCAAACATTTCACTAAAAGGAAAAGGATAGAAATTGTAACTAAAGCAAAATGAAAAATGGTCTATTAAAAGTCTTATAAAAATATAAAAGTTTATATAAGTGTGTAGTAGCATTTGTCAGATCAACTGTCACTCTTCTTATTTCTGAAGAACTGAAATAAAACAAGGATTTTTATTAGGCCCTCAATAAAATTACAGTAAATTTCTGTACCTCATCTACTGAAGCAAAGGCTTCATTGAAGTCGCCGACTTGCAACGATTTTTTAATCCAATTTGGTAAAGCATTCTTGACGGATGCCCTGTTATATCTCTCGTCTAGTAACAGGACTGTGGCATAGTCGTTTTTGTGTCTGACAGCTCTGCCGATACACTGATTGACTGCTTTCATGCACTGATTTTCATAATACTTTTGACCTGAGCCGGCACCCTAAAGAAAAATCACAATCATCATTGTGGGACTTGAATTATTATTAAATCACCTCTGTTTTGTCCAGATATCTCATTTTCTCTTTCAAATCCGCAGCCATTATGTTAGCATAAGGCAGTCCAACAACAATGACGCATCTTCCCAACTCGTCACTGAAATTAAGCCCTTCACTAAGTTTTCCTCCTGAAAACAAATAAATATAGTTTGAAAAAACTATCAAAGACGTTACGTATAACGGCATCTGCCCGCGAATAGCTCAAGCAATAATTGATAGTTACGTACTGCGCCATCTGCCCGCGAATAGATCAAGCAATAATGCCGATAATTCAGTCGATACAGATCCCGAGCTTGAGAGTTACAAACAAACATACATCTAATCTGACTTGTTATAAATGTACTTTTTTATATAACATAGTTAAATAAATATTCTATTCTATTCATACAAACATGCATACAGGTGAAGCTAATATAAAGCATGTAAAAACGTTAATGATATAATAGTGGTTGATTACAGAAAGATTTATTTATTTATAAACATATAATTGGCCAGTCATCAGAATAGATCTGGTGTTATAGCTTACAAAGTATGCTTTGATTAATATAATCTTGTAGTTATTTATAACAATACCAAAATAATAAAAACAAAAAAACTTTATGTCAAAGACAGATCACATATATCTAAGAAATCTATTTTGAAATCTAAGAGGATAAATGCAAATAGTATTGAGAATACTAGGACTGAAATATTTAGTTTTGTTATAAAAGTATATGCGAATGATATTGAAAAATGTGAGAAAAAGCGACGATTGAGGAGATAAAAACAAAATCGTTGGGAGAGCTGGAAGACATTACCTATGTCCTCGAACAGTGCATACCAGAATTACTTAGAGGATTGGAAAAAACACTGACACAAGTTTATTATATCTGAGGGGGACTGACTTAAAGGGAACAAAATGGATATTGATGAATAAATATTTTTTTTAAAAAATTAAAATTCATCTTACTTTGTGAACAAACCTCATATATAATACTTTACCTACAACACTAAAGAGAAGTGCTCCAGCGCTTCCAGGCTTCCTAATAACTTCAGCATACTTTTCCAGAACAGAATCTACAGATTTAGAGTTTTGAGGTTCTCGAAACACAGCTCTCCCAAAATTTATATCTTTAACTTGCTGCCACACCCAATTCTCATAGTTATAAGACGGAAAAAATACTACAATGCCGCCTTTTACCTTTTCGCAAGCTTGTTTTATAGTGTTTTTGATATTGTTTCCCTGAAATACAAACAATAATAACTGCTTCCAAGTACAGAAATACTATATAGTACCATAGCCATTCTATTTTCAAAATTAAACAACAGACTTTCGTTGCTGGACCCTTTCGTGATGATTATTGGTAGAATATTTTCAGGAGGTACAATGTGATCGCAAGCAAAATCCATTATCCTCTCCGGACTTGCGCCAGCATTGATGAAGAGACGATCTTTGAACTCGCCAATTGGTTTCATGGTGCCACCTGCCACAATAACTGATCTGGCTTCTTTGACAATGTCACAAAAGTTCGAAGAGGGGTTCAATAGCAGAAATTGAAGTTTACATTGCAGTTTGTCTGTATTTTTCTTCAACAAGATTCTTCCATCTTCATAGGAGTACGTTAAGGATTCTAGAAAAGATAGAATGGCTAAAAGGGGGTTACTAGCAGGTGGAACAACAATTTTCTTGGGATCTTCAGCTTGAATCTTTTCTTCAGCTTCAGTTTTGATATTTTTACTCTTTTGAATGCTCGCTAGAAATTCTTTAACTCCTTTTTTTGCTGGAGTCTCACTAGTTTCTTCGACAGGATATTTGATTGCATAGCTTCGAATCTGTATGAAAAGAGTATTGATAAACACTTGATGTTTGATTTTTATTTCCCTACCTTTTGAGCTAATCTGCAATCTCTGCTAAATTTTACAAGCTTGAACATGTTATAATTATCTATATGGGCCGTTAGTACAAAATTTTCAACTGTGAATATATCTGTAGAGTTGTTTGTGCAACTTTTCTCTGAAATTATTGCTTCTATTATTTATTATCTCTATCTCTCAAATATAATACTTTGAAATATATTTAGAAAATGATTATTTCATTCTATTTTCCAATCAAAGGTAAATGTTATGTATTCGAAAAATCTGAGTTTTCTATTTTAATTTAAATCTAATGACAGTAAATAACTCAATTTTAAATAGAATACTCACCAAGCAACTGCAACAACTGGTTAACAACGAATATGAGCTGATTTATCATCAACAAGTTTTTGGCCGAAAAACGAGTACTGAACTTATTTTTGTAAGATTTCATTTGATGCAATGCATGGTAAACCTGATTATAGTTCAGATCAATATTGTGCATTTGAGCCAACGCCTCCAGTAGATTGTGGGCCTCATCTATGATGACGATATTATTTTTCAACTTAATCCCATTTGCTTCTCTGGTTGCTTTATGAAGGAGGGTGTTATATGGTATCAAAACAACTTCCGCATCTTCTGCTGCTTTTCTGCTGGCATAATAGGGACAGGCATTCATTTCCTTGGCACTCGTAACTAGGTCTTCGACGTCTTGCACCTCCACGAGGGCATACTCTTGTAATTCCTCAATCTTTGTTGATTTATAAAATGGACATGAACAAGATGAACCTTTCTGCTTTTTGACAACCTTTCCGTCTTGATCAACCTTTGGTTGAGGATTCTTTTTCTGTAAATCCAGGCATCTCCAGGGATCCAAGTTGAGAAAGATATATCACTGAAATGTTTGAAGAAATTTTAACTTACCTCTCGTTAATTAAAGCCATACTCTTCAGTCTAGACACATTGGGATTAACACAATACGTTTGTCTTGAAGCCAAAGAAATAACTCTTATGTCATTACAGAAAGGTGATTTTTTTATTTCTCCAACGAACTGGGACAGCTGTGAATGTGTTCTGCTAGCAATAAATATCTGAAATGAGACAAAATGAAACCCAAACCTCTTTCAGCAGTATAAACTATATACAGTACATCTATATACATAATTCCTTATAAACATTTTTGCTTGCTACAAAACAGGATGATTTACATTAAGTGAACATTTTTACAAAGAATGTCTTTCCTTGGAAAAAAAATTAATGGTTTGTTTCTTCTCTTGTTTGATTTACCGTATTGTGAATGTACTCTAAATATAACTGAGTGAGGAAAACAAAGAATTACCTACTTTAACTGGTTCATATTTGGAGTCTTGTTCATCTTCATCTGTTGAATAACCATCCTCATTCATATCTGGATCTTCTGGTAAGATATCATCATCCTCCACTTTTCTTTCATCTTGTTGATTTTCTGTGTCTTCATTGTTGGGTTTACTTTTACTGAAGTACTTACGCCTCTGGTTATCCTTCGATTTTTTCACCTTCTTCAGTTTTTCAATCTTCTGATCATATTGCAATATTTTTGACTGTCTGATTTTCAATGAATGCAGTTTGTCTGTTATTTCCCTTTCCTTAGCTTGAGATGCTAACCAGTCAGTTGTTTCTGAGGCAATTATTTGTTTTTCAATTTCAAGGTTTGCTACTGTTCGACATAAGCACTCACGTTCAAATTTATTGTGGTCTTTCAGCCATCTTATTGCTCCGCAAATTATACTGAGTGATTTGCCCTGTAAATAGTTAACTATTGATCTTATTCTTATTTGTTTTACTTAAAGTGTATGAGAGAAAACCTAGTTTGTAACAGTAATTCTAAACCATACTCACGGTGCCTGTGGGACTCTCGAATATTCCTAATTTTCTGTTCTCTAATGCAAAATATAAGTTTTGCATAAACTTTTGTTGTATATCGTAAGGTGGGAAAGGAAAATCGAATTCCTCTGGTGAATCTAGTAATTGCAAATTGTCCTCGATCATTTCAATTACATTACTTGTTTATTTTCATTTTTGATTAACTTGTAACTTTAAAAGTAATATATAACCTCAAAAATAACTCCCGCCAAAATATGACATAAGGTCCGTTCGTTTGTAAAAAAGTTCAATTCATCATCACTTTCTTTTGGACACTGAACAGCCGATCATGAAGTGATTGCCGAACACCCAGAAATAATTAGTTAATTTTGTCGTCTTTCTTTTGGATAACACTTACACACACAAAATGAATTTTGATTTATTCAATATGATTTAGGGTGGTGTGCAAAAAAAATACTACTAAATGTTAAGACAAGTTTTTAAATTTCCTGATGTCAACAATGAAGGATACGATGGATTCATTTATTGGTCCATTCAAAACGTTAGCACATTAAGACAACGGAATCAGTTATGAAATATGAATTAACATAAATCTCTTAAACATTTTGCGATGTATAAATAACATTTGGTTTTGTGCAGCCGATTCGCTCTAGTGTGAATCTAAAAAATAAAATGTTATAGAAAAATTTTTAATTTTTCTAAAGGAAAATTGAAACGGTGCTCCTGCTTCTCCTACTTTTCTTCTTCCATTTTTAATAGGCCATATCGAATAACGATTTCATTTGAGCTAAACGTATTTTTTCTGAGTTGGCTACTTCGTGTATTCATCATCAGTGTTAGTTGCCATATGATGTTGATATTTCATTGTCAATTTTTGACAATGAATTTTAGTATGTTTCGTAATTTTTTGTTCTACTCTTGGGAAAGTGTTTTCAATAGGAATACTTTAATTGTTGACCAACAAAAAAATGGTATTCAATTAAAGGTTCTATGCATTCATCTGAATACTTTCTCACACAATTTTACCTTTTTGATAGTTAAAAAATTCATTTGACCAATGAAATTTTTTAAAAGGAAAAATGTTCCTTTCTATCTCTTCCTTTCTTGACTCTGCCCTCTTTTGGTGCAATATGCTAGCTCATTCGGGCAAAATTTTCCTTATTCGCAGAATGAATTTGTAAAGTCAAACGACTGTTGATATTTTCTGCGACAGAAAATGTGAAATGTTTGAAATAAAATTATTTTTTAACATTACTATACTGAATAGTGATTTTATTTGCAACACTTTTTTTTCACTCGTGTTCGTATATGGCTTTCACTTGATATTAAGAAATGTATTTGCTAGGTATGTCTGATGGATTACATTAACCAATAAAAATGCGCTAACGTTTCGAATGAACCAATAGATTAATCCATTGAAATTTTACGTTTAATAAAAAAAATATTTATTTTCCAACAACACAGAATATCAACGGAAACATCCCCTCTCGAGCATGCGCACATTCCTTGTACAGGTGCCATCGCATCACATGACCTGAACATTGGCCCCGTGACCAAAATTGAAGGAAAATTCAAAATTGTTTTGTACATTTCATAGGAATTCCGAACTATGGATATGCTAGATCCGTTAGAGCCAGGGTAAGGTGAATAATAGAAAAAAACTGTTTGCCAAACTGTTATGTAATGACCCGATTGTGACAAGGTCAAATTAGGCTTTTGCAGGGTACCCCAGAATATGTTAATTAGATAAATATTATTGATAAAGATAAACAAACAATTCGTTTTACAGAGATTCTGGCGAAGTGGATAGTAAATTAATGTTGGATGAAATTCATATCAAAGGACAAGTAATAGATAGTGATGATGAGGGCAATGTAGATCACCTCTCTCCTCAAACTTTATTAGAAACTCCTGGAGAGCATGAGGTGCAGTATTCTCTTCGATCACCTGAAGGTAGGATTTTTGAAAAAGGTGTATTCAAATTTTGTAAAGACAAGTCATATCACAGTTTCAATATTTGAAATTTGCATGTATTGTAAACCCTTTTGGTAATCTCAAGAATCTGAACAATGTTTTCTGTATATGTGACTTGCCATAATCATTCTATATTTTGCATTATGATCAAATGAGCTACTCTACTAATTTCAGGAAATATGATAACCTATCGAGTGTTACAAGTTGATGACAATGGTGTTGAAGCAGTCCCCCAAATAGTAACCGCTGGGTCAACCGGTTATACAAACGCAGCAGTGCCTCAAGTATTGACAAGCAATTTGAATGGACAACTTTTTGTGATAGGAAATGCAAATGAAGTGTTTACGTCATCACCTGGTGGAACCCGAGCAATAGCACCTAGGTCTTCGCTTCTCGAAACTAATAACAGTGTCGTTACCAACATCAAAAAGGTAAAGAATTGATTCACTGGGTCATCTTGTTCTGTTTTCATATTATGGTTTGTTTATTTTTTCTACACAAACTCTCTTTGGAGTTGCTTCATAGACTTGTAAAAATTTCTAATTTATAATCAATTACACCCTGCAATGAAACGGCTCCGAGTTCATTATTTAATAACGAAATTATTATTTCAATAGTGTATTCGCAACTAAAAAACAAAATGCCTAATTTTCATCAGGATGGTGTACCATAATAATAATGAAGCTATCCATGATAATAATTGAACAATTTTCACAAACATTTTTTTTCTAGACGCATTTCTCTAATACCGTAGCTTCCTCAGTAGAAAGCTGGTGAGGAAGAGAGGGAGTTATTAATTTCCATCAAGTAACGGGTCAATCCATTCACAATAATAATGAAGCATTCATTGCCCAACAGTAACAATCATTTACAGAGAAATATTGAATGAGAAATAAAATCGAGTATGTGTGAAAACATAAATTAACTTACCAGTAACAATTAATATGTGCTCTAAGTTTATTTTTCAACTCAACTGAAGTATAAGAGAATATATCACGATAGTCACAAATTTTGTTATAATTCATGCACATTGTGCAGTTTGCACCCGTTTATACATGAAACTGCATTTTTTCGAGGCACAAATAAGTTGATTTAGGATAGTAGTTCACGGGAATCCATTTTGTTGTTCAAGAGTTTGTACAGAAATTGTATGGAATTGTGTGGCCTGCATTTTGCTAAAGAAATAAAATGAATTATCTGTTTAAGCCTCTCAGTGAGTTTATTTTATCAATTTTGAGCTAATAAATTTCAGAAATTTTTTCTGTTCCTTCTCAACTTATTCACACAATATTTTTTCAGATACATAAATAAATTCTGTTTAGCAAAGTTAACATTACTTTTTATTTGGTCATGAATAGCACTTTCCGCATATTATGCAGGATTTTCAAAAAAGTGTGGAATCCGAAACATGCATCAACTGAAAAGTTGGTTGAGTAATAATTTTTCATGAATTTGCAATGGACTCTTGTAGCTTAATTAATATATCAAATTGGTATATATGTAAAAAACTGGTTTTGCAATAGTATATTTTTTCTGCTAGTTTCACAACATTTCTTTTTCTTTCCACAATAAAAGTTTTTTCTGTTTTTAGGTAAGCTTGGTTACTTCTAATAATTACTAGTAAGATGATTGAATGGACCTATACAAAGTTTTTCAATTTATTAACACAAGCGATTTCCACAAATATTTTTGAATTTTTAGAAAAGAAAGGTTTTGGCTTTATGAAAAATGAGAAATGAAACTTTCTACGTTATTTTAACACTTTTATTTGTAACGCATGTTGTTACTGCAGTTTCGTCATCTCCATCTTCATACAAAAAAATGTATTTCATAACTAATGTTTGGAGTACAAACTGAATGAGGAGAAGTTTTTTTATAATTTAAGGTTGATATAAAAAGTATACACTATACACTATACACTATACAATGAGTTATGGAGTACCCCATTTTTCAAGAGCTACTCAATATTGCAGACCATGATTAATGTGTTCTTCTTCATCATATGACAGATTAAACCTCGATAGTAAGATACAATAACTCACAGTCAGTTTGTAAAACTGAGTGTAACAAAGTTCTTGGTCTTTTCTTGTTTCTTCTTCATGTAAATAGTCATTCAATAATATGTAGACCATTTTCGGGAAAGGTTTTTGGCTTTCTACAACTCCATCTTGATACAAAAAATTTGGGAACCTTCCAAAGAAAGGAAGAAAGTAATCAATTTCAAAGATGGAGGAGTAGAAAGCCAAAAACTTTCACTCCTAAAAATATAACTCTTTCAATTTCATCTAGACCACGTTTATGTAAGAATGTTTGTCAACGACATCACAATAATGATATTCGTTCAGACTGGTGTCCTGGTGTCTGAAAAATAGATTGATTTTAAACATCAAATAACCTTATTAGGCACTCATTTAAATAAGAGTTTGAATATGAAGACACAAATCTGAATAAAGCCTTCCTCGTTGTTAAACAAATGGAATAAACTTTGAATACAGAAGACTTCGAAACAGTAGTCGACTTATTTTTGAAAACAAAATTATTATAATGCGGAACATGAACATATTATTAGATATATTTCAAAATAAAGTTGAATCCTTATATTAGGGAAATGCTATTGTTCCCAAAAATGTTTTACCTGCCAACACCTAGAACCAATATGTAATTCAAATCTCCCTTATTTGTAGTAGTAGTAGTATTTATTAACCATATTGAATACACTCAGTACAAATGGCAGGTCACAGAATAGGTATACTAACATAAATGAGTCAAAATATATATGTATATAAAATATAGAGATGCCAGGAATAACAATTACAAACTTATAACAACAAATAGCTTCACAAAAGGAACGTAAATATTAAAATAAACATATATCTATACATAAATATTTGCTAACACACACACCACTTGTAAATATTCAGTGCTCGAAAAATTCTTCCATAGTATAGAAGCAATTTTGTAAAAGATATTTCTTTGTTTTGTTCTTGAAATTGTCATAGCTGCTAATGTCTTTAAGAAACTTTGGCAGCTTGTTGTAGATTGATATACAGTTATAGAGAGTTGATTTTTTGAAGGTTGCTGTCTTATGCTTTGGTATATCAAGAATAAATTTTCTTGAAGAGTAATTATTATTTCTTCTCAATATGCTGAATTCAGCAAAGTTATTTTTCACAAATGTTACGCATTTTAGGATAAATATGGAATGGAATGGTAGAATACGGTGCTCTTTAAAAGTGGATCTACAGGATTCCCTATGTTCCAAATTGAATATTAGTCTAATAAGTCTTTTTTGAGATATAAAAACTCTTTTGTACTCAGTTGATAGCCCCCAATTTGCTATTTGCTATAAATTTAATCAACTGTGACAGAAAGTAGACATTTATTCAACACCATTGAATATATTCAATAAAGAGATAAAAACCATTCTGTTTGCGAAGCAACAAATACTCATTTAAAATTTGGTTTTTTTCAATGAAGATATTATTGTTACCTATATGAATGTTTTTTATATTCAACACTTTTATCCCAAAACTGTGTATTATGTTTTGCAAATCATCAAACACTTACTTGATATTTGTTAATTTTTTTTCCTTTTTTATTTAATATTCCATGAATGTATTATTACTATTATGATATGTATATATTTTCTATATTCAACAATTTCATCCCAGAATTGTATTGTGTCCTGTAATGGGGGTCTAGTGCCTGTTTGGACAATAAAAGTTTTTTTAAGATGATTATTTTTGAAAAGGAGTCATTAAAATTTACGTCTTTGAAAATATGTTTTAAAAAAATAAGGTTTTTATGTGTCTGTGTACATATACAAATTTTCATTTTATTTTCTTTCCATAAGTGACTATATTTTGAAATTTATACCACTCTTTTACTCATTTCTGACTGCATTTGATACTTGACTTATATCTGTAGCATCTGTAGCAACAATGACCTTGTCTGCAATATAAAGAAAACCAAGTTCATCTATTTCTTACCAAAAAACAGTACCTCAAATCTAGATCTAATGAACAACATCAATATGTGTGGTGAAACTCTGGAATACTGTCAGGTAGCTAGATTTTTAGGAATACTCCTGGATCAAAAACTAACATGGAGGCACATATCGACAGTTTATGTGTAAAGGTTGGCAGTGGAAACTACGCAATTCGGAATCTGCGAGACACTGTTTCTACAGAAGTTATAAAACTCATGTATCATGGACTGGTACAATCAAGGCTACAGAATGGATTGATCTTCTGGGGTAACTCTGCATATAGTGACGGCATTTTTAAGGTTCAGAAATGGGTCATTCGCTGTATGGACAAGTCTCGTCCACTGGACTTTTGTACACCGTTACCATTGCCGTGCCTCTGCATATTACAGCTAGTGTTATTCATCTATGATAATAAAAACCTATATCCAAAAAACTATGATATACATAATTACGCTACTCAGGGTGAGGATACTTTATACCACCCCTACTCTCGCTTGTGTGTGAGTCAGAATTCCCCAAAATACTTGGGTATTAAATGCTTGAATAAAATAACAATTTTTATATGGATCAATAAAAGTAGAACTGTAATGAGGAATGAACTACAAGGTTTCTTGTTGACTAGACTTTTTTGTCTAGTTCAATAAGTATTCTCATGTATTTAATCTTGTAAATGTGTATGTGTGAAAATTTTAGTGATGAATAAAACTATTTCTATTTCTATAATAATGGCGAATAAATGTTATATTCTATCATTTTGATTTGGAATCATACAAATTTTGTAAAATTATTTTATCTCACTTTAATGTATTTGGATTCACAAGGTTTATATTGTGGCGAGTTTATTGCAATTTTTTACTGTCTTTTTGCGAATCATGACTGTCTGTCTGTATTTCATAAAATATAATTTCAATATAATATAAGCTGTGATAAATCATTATTATTTAGAGGGACGAACGTAGACGAGCGACTCATAACGAAGTGGAAAGGAGACGCCGAGACAAAATTAATAACTGGATAACCAAATTGGCGACCATCATACCGGATAATTCGCCGAACGAATTACGAACCAGTGGTAACTACGACGGTCTATCCAAAGGAGGCATCCTGGCAAAAGCCTGCGACTATATAATGGAATTAAGGGAGACTGAAAATAAATATGAAGCCATGTCACGGGAGTACAAACAAAAGGAGCAAGAAATGGAGGCGTTGAAAGTGAAAACCACAGCTTTGGAGAGAGAAAATAGAGAATTGAAAGCCATACTGAAAAAGAATGGGATTTTGTATGTATCAAACGAATTGCCATCCTAGTAAGTGTAATAATAACTATGTTGTGAAACGTAAGTTATGAATATTGAGTATTTGTTATATATTTTTTATCTTATTTTTACTTTATAGTTGATATTTTTTAATTTGTTGTACAGATTTTGAAATGGGACTCTATTTCAATTCGAATATACATTAAATGGTTGATATATAGTTGAAATTATTGTACATAATAAAAACATATGTATACTCCAGAGTTTTTTGTCCATGTCCCAACACAATTTTTGGAATCCTTCAGTCAATGAATACTTGAGAATATCTATTTCTCGTTTAATAAACTGCCTCAAGATGATATTCTCTGATTGAATGTAATTATTTTTTGGATTGGTATTAATTGACCAAGTGAATTATGTATGTTGGATAAATATCAAACAAAATGTTTTCACCTTGCTAACTTGTTGCTTGAAAATTGAAACATTAGGTAAGTATAGATATTTATCAACAACAGAAGTTTCTGTTATAGAGGCATCCAAATTAGTTTGGGGATATATGATATACTCAACAAGTCAATAGATTAAAAATAGACACTGCAGATATGTGACCAATGGTATAGAGAAATTGATACATTATCAGGCCGATTTGTTCATTTCTTCCAAGTCTCCAAAAAACACTGCAGCTTCGTTTTCCCCCCATCTTTTTCATGACACTCATTCAAATCTACTTACTTCTCAATATAATACTTGATGCCTTGTTTTTCAATTTTTTATGTACTTCATATACTAGTTTTTGTACCGATACCTGTTGGACACCAAAAAACTTCACTGTACTTTTAATTCACTTGAATATGGAAAGGGTTTATATGGGTGAAAATTATTTCAATAGGTGTCACTAAATAATTTTATATTTGAGAATTTTTTGAAGTTTATACAGTGAATTTTCAGAAAATGGAAGCAAGATCCCATTCAGCAGTCATTTTTTTTTATAATTAAGACGTTTGGGTTAGGAACAGAGGTAAATTGTGCCAAAACAGTCGAAAAAATTATATAATATATTATAAAAATAGTAAATAATAGTGAAATATAACAAGTACTTCAACAATATTTAATACTACTTACGAATCATATTATTTTTTCAAGCACATTAGTTACATCTAAGAAAATGAAAAGATCGGTGTAGCTATTATATCTCAATGTTATTCTGATAGAGAAAAAAAAACATTAATTGAAGAAAACTTCACTGAACCACAGTGTAAGTAATTAGTTATTTGGACTGTGGAAGCATGTTATTAGTGACTACATTTGAGAATGTTAACTACTCAGCAAGTCGATTTGTACTACCAAATGTGTTATTTTATCCTCCTAAGTGAGTAAATTAAAGCTGTCGAAAATATATTTTAAAGCTGAAAACTATTTTTTAATAGTTGAAGCTGAAAACTATTTTTTAATATTCGAATAATGTGAATACTATTTCTTCCTTGTTAGCTTGTTCAATTTTATTACATGTTCCAAGAAAATTAATAAAAATTCACATGAAAACTCGCCACATTCTCCTCTCCTAGCGGTCACACAGGGCCTGGCAAATGTCTGGTGTAAACTACTTTCCTAGATGCCATGATGAACATTGGATTAAGCAGGGAAGTAGTTGTTTTTCAGCAGGCATTTACCAGATTTCACTGTGTAGGAGCATTGGGAGTGGTAAATGTCTCAAATTATTTCCTTGGAGCATGTATCTCTCTTTGACGGTAATCGGACTGGTTTGATTTCCCAAATAAACCAACTATGATCAAACTACACTTTCGTCTGTGAGGCCTTCATTTTCTTAGAGAAACCTTTTCTTAGCAGATAAAGAGATACCTAATTCATTCCCTTCTCAAATTATCTAACCTAGCTTGAAGATCAGCGTCGGCATCTGATAATCCTCCTCCATTTCCACCAGATGCAGCTGCAGCTGCTACGGGCTGTTTCTGACCAGTAGGTAAGGCGCCTCCAGTTTGGGGCAAGCCAGACAGAGTGTCCGTGAGTTGAAGACCCAGTTCGTCTAGGACTTGGTTAACAACAGCGTCACTGAAAATTGTTTGTTTAGTAAGCAATTCAGAAGAATGAAAAGAGCAAAGAACTCCGAAGTTGATGCCAATACTTTTGATCTGTCGTTGGCATTTGACGTTATTTTATCAGTTTTCTTTTTTTTTTCCCATATACCACTATAGAAAATGGTGTTACTTTGAAAGTTGCTGATCATAGACAATTGCCAAGATATCAACAGGATATATCAAAAAAATATTACACGTTTTTCAATCCATATTATCAGTGTACAATATAGATAGCATTGGACCTAATACAGAGTCTTGTGGAACTTGTACTTCAAGTACTGAAATGATTTATAAAAATTATAATTACAAACCTTTCTTCTTCGTCATCATCGCCTTCCATTGCGTCATCAATAGCATCGTTCATGACTTCTTCCTTCATGTCCATGATTTCCGACTGTTTTTCAAATTCTTGTAATATTCTTTGAATCTGAGGCAAATTCAGCTGGCGATTCATGCTTGCCATAGCTTTAGTAACACCTTTCATGGCTTGTGCCATAGCGTTTTGAGATCGAAGAGTTTGTATTTTGAGGGAAACTGCTTGAATGTTCGCTTTCATAAGCATGAATTTTTTAACATATCTTCTAGTTCTAACCAAATCTCTTGCCATAATTTTTACGGCATCCTATTGATTATACAATTAGTGATAAAATAGTAATTTTGAAAAGGTCTTACCATTTGTCCTTCTTTGGCTAGCTTTTTAATATCATTAATTATTTTCTTTTCTTGTTGTTCCATTTTCTGCCTTTCTCTGTCTAAATCTCTCATTGCCTTGTTAAGGGCTCTTTGGTTTTTGCGTAAAAGCTCTTCAGGTGTAACTTTCTTTCCAAAAAGCCACTCCATTTTTATGTATAAACTCAAATTCAAAACTAAATTAAAAATGACTCATTATATTGACTGTCTAATTGACATCTATCAATATCAATGTGTCACTGTCACCTGTCACTGTCAAATGTCAATGATTTGTGACTCCCTGCTCCCTAATAAAGAGGGTTTTGTTTTCAACGCCGCGCCGTCTCTTTTTTTCTTTAAAACGTTCAGATTTGTAGTCTACGATTTCTGCTTGAATTTGAATAACTTCCCTTCCAAACGCCAACGTCACTCATAGTTATCTAATGAATATCAAGAATATTGAAAACTATCAACAATAATAGAAGAATACCTACTTTAAATTTTGATTTCCCAATTAACAATAATATGGAATTCATAGAAGAACAAAAGTTTTAACGAAAGAAGCGCGCTCTCTGTGAAAAATTACTGCGTGAAATAACGATTAATGATTTATTTGTTCACCAGACACCACTAGGAGAAAGTTTTTTGGCAAGTCTGAAAATTTGGTGAAATTCATTTTGGTTTGATCAAAATTTGTTTATCCGATAACCAGCTGTCACCCTTATGATAACAAAAACCCTCAAAATGCCTTAACGAGATCTTACCTTCCAATGAACGATTCCTAGAACAGTTTGTACAATAAGCAGTCAAAATCGATAGTCCGGCCACTGTTTCACATAGTAGATGATTGAATAGATAGAATCAACCACCCACGATAATTTATTAAGGAATGACGAAAAACTTTTTTAGGCTAATGGGAATTTTATTGCATAGTTTTATTCTATTGTGTACATCAATAAATATTTTACACCTTTTTTACACAGATTGGATTAGTCAAGATTAGTATTTTAAAAAAAGACGAATGGGATTCTACGACGTTTTGATTGCATTTGTGATCATCTTCAGGTGATAATTTAATGATACCCTATTTCGAAGATACAAATATCTACGATTATGAACTAGGACTAGTAAAAAAACGTATATATTGTTTCCCACAAAAAAACAATATCGTGAGATGTCATTTGTCAGCAATTGTTAGACAGTCAGCTGACTGTCTTGTGACAAATTTACTTGCTTGGTTAAAAGTTGATAGTCCGTCGTCTTGCGAGTTGTGAATTGACTGGGTGAGGTTGAAAGTGATACAAGTGAGTTTTTTCTAGGTAATTTTTAAGCTTTCAACATCTCTTCTTAGTCCGAATCATAAAATATTTCATATAATCGATTCCATTCATCTTTTCCGTTCAAGAATATTCCTATTGATTTTTATCATCTTTGGGTTTCTTTTCTGAGAAGTTGTGTAGGAAAGTAATTAATGACTTCGTGTTTATTGTGAACTTGCTTTGGAACAATACATTTTATGCTCTATTCATTATTAACTTTTCAAAAACATCCTTTTTGCTTCAAAGCGATATTATGAAGGCGTAGTCCATAAGAATATAGTGTTTGTTGCACCATTTCAGAGGTGCGGCCCAACCCAATTGACAGTTGGCACATGATTTTGTACACATATGACAGCTAGCAAACCTTTTATTGTGGTTTGTACTAAGGGTTTAGTTTGTCATGTGACTGTTAATTATCTCTTGATTATTTCACAACTCTCTTTTCAAATTAGTGTAGTTTTTGATCCCACGGGTATAGAATATTGTCAAATTCTCATCTATGTGAATAATTTAATTTCATATTTCCAGGTCTACATTCATAATGTCGAGATTAATTGCTGATGAGGAACAGGAATCACAGTATGGATATGTCCATGCTGTATCTGGACCAGGTATGTTTTTCCTCAATATAATTTATGAGTTTTCATGTAACTTTTGTTCTAGTCGTTACGGCCGAGAAAATGTCAGGATCAGCTATGTACGAATTGGTTCGAGTAGGATACTATGAGTTAGTAGGCGAAATTATCCGTCTGGAAGGTGATATGGCCACCATTCAGGTAAATTAAACTCCTTAGTGCTCTAAAACAATTTTTTTACTCTAATTACATTTTAGGTATATGAAGAAACTTCTGGAGTAACGGTGGGAGATCCTGTGTTGCGTACCGGTAAACCTCTATCTGTGGAACTTGGGCCAGGTATTATGGGTTCCATCTTTGATGGTATCCAACGTCCGCTGAAAGACATCTGCGACATGACGGAAAGTATCTACATTCCCAAGGGTGTGAATGTGCCTTCACTCTCCAGAACTATCAAATGGGAATTCAACCCAATCAACATCAAGGTAAGTCTGTCCAATCTGTTTGTATAGACTCATCTAATTTCATCATTTCAGTTGGGATCCCACTTGACAGGTGGAGATATTTATGGTATGGTCCACGAAAACACCCTTGTTAAGCACAAAATGATCCTCCCACCAAAATCTAAGGGAACAGTTACATACGTGGCAGAACCAGGAAACTATACTGTTGATGTAAGTAGGGAAATAATAATTATGTGATTCAATTATTTATGGTAATGTGCTTTGACAGGAAGTTGTATTGGAAACTGAGTTTGATGGAGAAAGGTCTAAATACACTATGTTACAAGTCTGGCCAGTTCGACAGGCAAGACCTGTTAGTGAAAAACTCCCAGCTAATCACCCGCTTCTCACAGGACAGCGTGTATTGGACTCTCTTTTCCCGTAAGTTATTTTCTATCAAGTGACTTATTTCTCAAGATTTGGTTATAGGAATTTCATGAATTGCATTTAGGAATAAAACACAAACGTATTTAAAATGAACAGTGTTTCTGTAGTTATAGCTTTAAATAATATAAATTTTTAGACATAACAGATGAAAAAGCATCAACAACTTTTTACATTTCATTCATTTCCCTTGAAGACAAATTTACATTTGTATAGGAATAATCACATAACAAAAACAAGACTCCACGAAATAGTTTAAATTAAAATGAAACAAGATATATAGTAAATATCACAGTTGAAGATTTTGAATCACCAGCTGAATCATTTTGATTTACAGTTACAAGCAACTAGTAGGTTTTTATAGGAAAACTTCAAAAATGAAGAATTCAAGGAGAGTTGAAATACAAAATTCTTCAACAGTTCTTTTCAAGAAAATGAGTTAGGCTTTTTTGCAATACTGTTATGTGATGACTGTTAAATCGATATTCATGTACTAAACTTTTCAGTGATATCAAACATTTGTTGATAATTTTGAATTCGAATTCTAGATGTGTGCAAGGAGGAACCACTGCTATTCCCGGTGCTTTCGGTTGTGGTAAAACTGTAATTTCCCAGTCACTTTCCAAGTATTCCAACTCTGATGTCATTGTGTATGTAGGTTGTGGAGAGAGAGGTAGGAAATGAATCAAAGTCATCTTTTTTTTTATTATTGGCTTCAACAACAATTTCAGGTAATGAGATGTCTGAAGTATTGAGAGATTTCCCTGAACTGACTGTGGAAATTGGTGGTGAGACCGAATCTATCATGAAACGTACCGCCTTGGTTGCAAACACCTCCAACATGCCTGTCGCTGCCCGTGAGGCTTCTATTTATACTGGTATTACCCTGTCTGAATATTTCCGTGATATGGGTTACAACGTTTCCATGATGGCTGACTCTACATCACGTTGGGCTGAAGCTTTGAGAGAAATTTCAGGTAACCTAATAGTTCTAGTCTATTTAAACATGTTAATGTTGAATTTCAAATGGTTAACGGCAAAAATTCTATACACGACAACGGAAAGTTTGAATAAACTCACTTGTTAGGGATTTTATTAATAGAATTACTGAAATTACTGATAGCAAAATTCAATATGATAGATGAAGTCATTGTAATTATAATATATACCCCCATATTTCTAATTTATGTTTATTTTTTACATGATTTGAGAAAAAATAGTTCAATCATTGGATAGTAATGGTCAGTTTGAGATTTTGAACTCTGAAATGGTTAAATGTATTTTTAAAGTAACTGGAACATTTATGCTAAATTCTCCTCAGTAGATTTCCCTCAAAAACTTTCATTTTTGAAATTATAAATAACCTGGCCGTTGCAAAATTTCCAAAGTTATGTTTACAATTTGGATATTTATCACTATAATAACACAAGACCTAATTTGTTCAATCAAGTAAACTGAGAATGGTTTAATAAACCGAAATTGGTCGTAACAAATAAGAAAATCTTATTGTTATTGATAATTGCTGATAGGTAGATGGATACGTTTATTTACTTCACAGAGAATTTGTAGTCCTACATGAAAACATTGTCAGAATAGGTTGTTTTTAAAAGCACGTCACAAAATACAAATATTGTGTTCAAAGTGTCACTACAGAGTTTCACAAGTTCAGTTTCTAACCGAAATGACTCTTGATTTCTTGGAAATAATGTGTCAATATTATGTTACTGTAATTTCAAACAGCTTATTATAATATTTATAAAACTTATTTTTTGTTATTATTATGAATATGTTTGTACAATAGGGTTTCCTCTTTCAAATAAATACTATTTGGTTTTTACCCTCAGTTTTTAATAGTTATGCTGTTTGACTTCAACAAGGTAAAGCATAGTGATTGTCTTTTGCAGGACGTTTGGCTGAAATGCCTGCTGATTCTGGTTACCCAGCCTACTTGGGTGCTCGTCTTGCCTCTTTCTATGAACGTGCTGGTCGCGTCAAATGTTTGGGTAACCCTGACAGAGAAGGATCGGTTTCTATCGTAGGAGCAGTATCTCCACCCGGTGGTGACTTCTCAGATCCCGTTACTTCAGCAACTTTAGGTGAACAATAAATTTTCAATTTACTTTAATCTACTAATAATAGGAGTTTTATTACAGGTATCGTACAAGTGTTCTGGGGTTTGGATAAAAAACTTGCCCAGCGTAAACATTTCCCATCTATTAACTGGCTCATTTCTTATTCGAAATACATGAGGGCTCTGGACGATTTTTATGACAAGAACTTCCCAGAATTCGTATCACTCAGAACCAAAGTCAAGGAAATTCTCCAGGTAAATTTTTAAAAATTTATTTTGTCTATATCTTCGCTACACCCCCAGATCTGTATAAGAATGATGTTTCACTGACCAACTCAGCTTTCTCACTAGAAAACTCATAATAAATATTGGCTGACAATGTTTCATGGTGAATTTTATCAGTTCGGTCTAAAGTTGTCTAATAAAATATAGTTTGAAACCTCTGAAAGAACTAATTAAATTAAAATTATCTTTTAAAGAATTCGAACCATATTATATCATAATAGACAATGGAAGTCCGAACTTGAAAAATACAGTAATTCACAAGTGTTTTAATACAGTTAATTTTATTTCAAAGCAAGGCAGAACGACTTCGGTCAATAGCCAGTTAAGCAAATTTGTAATTTTGTTCAATAAATTACAATTATTATTATTACAGTTAATATTGTTCAATTATCTGGAGTTACAGACAACGAATACATTTACCTTTGACTCCTTACACATGATGTGGGATTTGAAAGACATCTCACTGTCAAACTTTTTTTTGACCAGTCAATGAACATACTATATGATGATTTGAACTCAAAAAACAGCTCTATTGTACTCTTCTTTGATCTGAGTGAAGCGTTTGATACGGTTGATCACAATCTCCTAGTTGAGAAACTCTATCACATTGGTGTTAGAGGGACGCCTCTAAATTGGCTCACATTGTATCTCGAAAATCGAAAATAAGTATTGATACTGGGTAATGCAAAATAGGAAGAGAAAACTGTAAATGTAGGGGTACCGCAAGGATCGCTACTGGGTCCAGTACTGTTCCCTATTTTTGTCAATGATATCACCTCAACATGCAAACAAGCGCACAAAATAATGTATGCAGACGACACAACTATGATAGTGAGAGAAAACAACTTAGCAAAAACAGTAGAAACTGCCAACACCGTTGCAAACCAAAAAACATCAATAATACGTTCTGTTCCCTGATTAGAATTGATGGCAAAAGTATTGAACAGGTCACATCAACGAAGTTTCTAGGTATTGCCTTGGACCATAAACTAAGCTGGGAAAACCATATTAACAGCTTATGTAATAAACTGAGTAAAAACTGCTTTGTACTAAGGCAATTGAAGACTACAGTGTCAATGGACGTGCTGTTATTGGTTTACTATGGTTTGATACAATCAAATATATCCTATGGGTTGATATTTTGGGGTGGCTCAACTCAAATAGAAAAAGTATTTCTACGGCAAAAGAAAATTATTAGATGCATAAAAGGGGTACATCAAAGAATATCATGCAAAGAAATATTTACTGAATTATCTATTCTAACTGTGCCATCATTGTACATATTTCAAACTATTTTAAACGTAAAAAAACAATTGGAAGTACTACCTACAAATAGTGCTCACCATAACTATAATACACGAAGTGCAGGGAATTTGCAGCAGCCGTTTTCGAGACTTGCCATTGGTCAATGCTCTCACATATACAAAGGCATCGTATTTTATAATTATTTCAAGAACAAATATGGCAGTGAAAAAAATTCAAATGATTTTAAAACTTTTAAATCTCTTTTAAGTAAGTTCTTGCTGAGAAAAGCATTCTATTCTGTGAAGGAATTTTTAAATGACTGAATATGACCTTTTTTAAAAAATTTTAACGTTGAAAGTAGGTTGTGTATGTAGAATAGTCTTATAAATAGGTATATATTCTGATTTTAATTGACTAGTCTAATGAAGTAGTAACATTTGTGTACCAAATTATTTTGTAACATATTATGTTCTGCTTTTACAGATGATTAAATTCTATTCTATTCTATTCTACTTGTCATTTTGTAATACTCTACAATCTTTGATGGATTTAATTGATGAGTAAATTTTCAAGTTTGCAAATTATAAGCAGTAAGTCAATTAATTTTTTTTCACGAGACTATTGATAAGAAGTAGGAACAGATTACCATGGATTTTGACACTCTCCACAGTTAGTTCAGGGCTCATATATTATCATGCAAATTGCTGAGTGGTAATTGTCCAATTGAACATAAGATTTAGGCATTACTTTCAATGTCTTCTTTTTTTTTATCTAAATACATTCCTGCTTGTTTCACCCAAAACATGTTTCACTACTTTAAAATCGTGCTTTATTTTAAATTTCATTTTACAAATGAGAATCTATTCATAATTGAACAAAATTAATTGTCATGAAATGGTTTTCTCACCTCAAAATTTTGATTTGTCGGTCTCTATGAGATATTCTAAAATTTCAGGAAGAAGAGGACCTCTCAGAAATTGTGCAACTGGTTGGTAAAGCCTCTTTAGCCGAAGCAGACAAAATCACCCTTGAAATCGCCAAACTGTTGAAAGAAGACTTCCTCCAACAAAACTCCTACTCCTCCTACGACAGATTCTGCCCGTTCTACAAAACGGTAGGCATGCTCAAGAACATGATCGGACTGTACGACATGTCGAGACACGCTGTAGAAACGACCGCCCAATCTGAAAACAAAATAACCTGGAACGTAATCAGAGACTCCATGAGCAACATCCTCTATCAGCTCAGCAGTATGAAGTTCAAGGACCCCGTCAAAGACGGAGAAGCCAAAATTAAAGCAGACTTCGACCAGCTCTATGAAGACATCCAACAGGCCTTCAGAAACTTGGAGGATTAAGTGGGGGTCGCGTAGGACTGTGCAGCTTGGGGTTTTAGGTTTCGAAGATGTTTCTCTGGAACTGCACTTGGTCACTATCAGAAGGCCTCTGTCCCTCACTCTGGGTATTGTCAACCAGCGGAAGTAGTAATAATGGGGTTTTCCCTTTTGATATTATCATGTATAATAATAAATCATGTAAATTTTTCGAGTATGTGTATAGTTTTTGAGATTTCTTGGTGAGGGTAAGTGTTGAAAACTATAATTTTTCCCATCATTCCAGTTACTTTTAAGTTTGATTTTTTTTTTCATTGAAATAGGTGCTTATCAGTTGTCCAGTATTATCGATTTCATTGAACTGTGGCCATTTTCGAAATCATTTACACATTTTAAAGCTGTTGTACATTATATTTACCTTTTTAAAGATATATCTTACTATTGTACAGTTTACCATGTATCCAATGTCTAGAGGTTTAGAACTTTTGATTGTAGTGCTATTGTTCTGTTTTGAACGATAATAAACATACATACTGTTGTTTCTGTAGAGTTTCATTTTTTGAGTGTTGGAGAAAGAAAAAAAATCATGTTCCTTACATTGGAATATCATATTCACTATGATATGAAATTATGTTTGTTATATATTATGTATCACTAGTTGACCAGGCAAACTTTGTAATGCCTTATTGTTAATAAATATTGTGTCAAGGAAGAATATTGTATTTTTCCAATAATAAAATATTTAGCATTTTATTTTTCTGACCAATCTTGTGAGAAATTTTTTAAATTTGTGGAAAGTTATTCTCTGAATTTTCTAGAATAAATCTATGTGAACCACTAAATGTCTTTCTGATGGTTTTTTTCCATCAGTGTTCAAACCAGCCACAGTTCTAGCTATATTCAAGAAGGGAGATGAAAAATGACCTGAGAATTACAGACAAATTCACATATTGCCCACCCTATCCAAAGTAATGGAAAAAGCTATTTTAATACAGTTTAGTAACTACATGGAAAGAAATAATTTCTTACATAATTATCAGTTTGGGTTTAGGAAAGGTAAAAGTGCCGTAGACGCTATAAATAAATTAGCTAATAACATTATTGAAGCTTTTGAAAATAAACAATTCTGTTTAACTATCTTCACAGATCTGTCGAAGGCTTTCGATTGTGTCTGTCATGATAAACTGTTGGAGAAATTAGAATGGTATGGCATAAGAGGAATTCCCAATAAAATAATTGAATCATATTTAGCTAACAGAACACAAAGAGTTTACAATAACAATATGATAAGTCAAGTACTTATTATCAAAAGGGCAGTCCCACAAGGATCCATACTGGGGCCTTTCCTGTTCCTAATTTATGCTAATGACTTACCTTCATATATGCATCTCAAACTAGAATTACTGACAATATTATACGCTGACGACACGTCATTTTCTGTGTATATAGATAGAACCCGAGATGTTGATAACATATCGGCAAATATTTGTGCTTCTGCTAAACAGTGGTTTGACTCTAATGAACTGTATATGAATGAAACAGAAATTTGTGTATTTTCAAACTATCGCACTGATGCCATTTTTACATCAGAAAGTATAACATTTTTGGGAGTTCATCTTGACTCTTGTCAGTCTCTTGCCTGGACCACCCACATCAGTAATCTTTGCAACAAACTAGCAAAATCTGTTTATGCCATTAGGCGAATAGCTACAACGGCTGGTCAGAAAGCAGCTCTAATGACGTACTACGCCTTGTTCCACTCAGCAATGAGTTATGGGTTGCTGTGGTGGGGTAATGCAAGCTACACCCATCTTCAAAGAATATTTGTCTTGCAAAAAGCTGCTGTACGTAGCATTGTTAAAGCTGAATATAATGAACACTGTAAGCCTTCGTTTGAGAATACAGGAATCATGACTCTACTCTCACAAATTATCTTTGACAATGTTCTGCATGTCAAAGGAAATTATCACACATTCGGATATTCACTCCTACAAAACACGCAATGGAAATAATATTGTGCCCCTCTTAAGAAGATTGGATAAAAGCAAATCAATTAGCATCACTTGCTTCAATTTACTTCCTGAAAAAAATCAAACATCTGCCACTCAGACTTTTCAGAAATACAGTGAAAAAACTTCTCACTAAAATGAGACTGTATACTTTGAGTGAGTTCAATGTTACTCTTAAGGATTCACTTGGAGATACCTAGTGCATCTTTTCCACTTTTTATTCCTGTTTCTTTATACGTTAAGAATTTTTAAAATGCATTTTATACTTTTGAGATTTGTTTGAAAGCATAGAATATTTTGCAAGATACCATGTTTTTTCCTAATTTCTGAAAACTTTTTAGTAAATCAATGTTTATTACAGAAAATTTAAATAGTAAGTCAATCAAGTTGCTAAGATCTACTCAATTCTTGAATGAAGTTTTAGTATACTAATAATTTATTGCACATATTACATAAAATTATGAAACAACCAGTCAGAAGAAAACAATCTTTATAAAGTAGCCTTCTAATTCAAGTTTTATGTAAGTATTCTTCGACGTACTGTGGTTCGAGTTCAATTAATAGTTTCGAAAGTGTTTTTTTAATGTTTGAAAATGCTGCTTAGATTTGTTATTCCGTGGCAAATGGTTACAAAGTTTTATACGTGAACCATTTTATGGTTCTAGAAAAGACAATGCCGTTAATATTGAAGTGCTATCATCAGCTTAGTATATGATAGTTTCATGTTTTGCAATCATGTGAAAGACATAAAAATTATAAATAAAAGAGGTCCCAAGATACTACCATGTGGTACCCCTATATCGATAGCACTGATTGTATCCCAGTACTTCTTTCAATCTCATTTCAAGAAAACATTGAACGAAGTTTCTGAAAAATATATATCACAATAGATAAATGAATAATCCACATTCTATGTCATTGAAAAAAAAAATTCTCGGGGCGTAATTTTTGACTTCATACTATAACTTTCATAAAAATCAACGTTGAAAAATTTGATTATGAATCTCCCTCACAAGAATTATTCTAACCTCATTTATGGTCTACGGCGTCCTCTTGGACATATTTTAGGAACTATTACAATTTTCAGGAACAGATTTAGTAGTTAACTGCAAAATAAATAAAGATTCCATTTAGAAATTATATTGTAATTTGTTTTATTCATTGGCAGAGGGCAATTAAATATTCTTACACCAAACATTTGAAGATCCTCATACCAAATTATCTTAGCTAGGGCAAGTATATATTTAATTATTCATATGTATTAACAGTAATAAAAATAAGACTATTGAGGAGAGACTCATACCTATAAGAAAATAAATATTTGGGAACATTCATCTTTCTCAAGGTGAATTCTTGTCGGATAATAACTACTACCCGGACAATTACCATCCCAGACATTGAATATTCGATAGACATGTTTCTTCCTCGTTATTGGGTCTTTGTTTATGTGATGGAGCTGTTACTAGTTAACATATCTTTCTCCTTGAAGTCAGTAGAGTCCCAAGCACATTACTGTTTGGGTCCTGTCTCTCCTGCACTTCTAATATCTCGATACTGGTCTGTAAGTAATCTACTGGGAACATCTCTAAGACTATCCTCTGTGGGGTATCTTGCATAAATACCTGTTGAATATAATTCAATGCCTAGTGTAGTACTTGCCGGGGAAATAGTTGTTTTCCAAAACCTACTATATAGGTATAGGTGAATATATCTGGATTTTATTTCCAAATTATTTATTTTCCCAACGGTAATACTACAAAAACTTCTAGGTACTCATTAACATGGACATGCCAAGTAGTTGCATACATGAAAATTAAGAAAACCTCATTAAATATACAGATTATTTTTATTGAAGTAGCTTTAGTTGCTTGAAACTATTAGGTACAGACTAATAAGTCTATACACTGGTGGTTGCTGGGAAGTTCTTTTGTTTCAAAAATTGTTGTAGACCAAGTGGGGAGGTTCTGACGTTGCCGCAAGCTGGTGCCAATAGTGTTGTGTTGCTACACCAGTGTATAGACATCTTAGAAAGGCATAATTGCTCGACTAGGTTTCTTTACTAATCACCCATTATAATACAGATTTATTTTTCATACCCAACCAATTATACATTTTTTATCTCAATGTGAAAATGCAAAGGTCAAAAAAATTATTTTATTTCAATTTTCTATTTTTAATAAACAAGACATACGTTATACAAAATATTAAATATAAGAAAACAATTCAGTATCATAATAAAATCACATACATTGTATTTTGCAACTATCATGCAAAACAGTTTAATTTATTTCACAATGAATATTAATATTGGTGCTTTTTTCAAAATCTCCTCTTTATATAAAATATAGATAACTGATAATGAAAATTCAAAAAATATTTTTGATTTTGTCTTGTAGAGTTAAAATTTTTTGCCAATTTGTAAATAATTTGGCATTTGTATACTCATATTATCTATATGTCAGCCAAAAAAGGAATTGATTTTCACCATAATTAATAGCAAGAACCTATGGAGTTGTGTAGATCAAATCATTATCAATCACGGAAATATTATAAAAACAAAAAAACCTTTTCAGATATAAAGAAAAAACCCCGCCATTTTCAAAGCTATTTCGGCCTCATGTAGATTGTCATTGTAGTCAGTGTTTTTAATCTGAATCCAACCAAAGCTTGGTCGGATTAAAAAGTTGTGTTCTGGTTGCTATGCAGTTAAGATGATATCGATAGAATTAGGGTATTCCACAGCTGAAGTGGTGTATCACTCACTCCGTATCTGAAAGTCACTTGAGGTATGGGATTTCTTTTTGGCATAGTTGCAGTAATTATCTATTCAACTTGGTCAAATTTCAAAAAAGAGCTTTAAGATATATGTGTAAAGCTAAATATAAGGAGCCATGTAAGCCGCCCTTTAAATCCCATAAAATGTTAACTGCAGAATCATTATATATCTCAGAAACGGTATTGATTAAAAACAAACATTTCCATTTTAAATTGTATCATCTATAATTCTGTTTATTTTATTGCTTTTACTAATTTTCACGTGCTTGAGTTTATTTCGAGTCTTACTTTTACATTTTGTATTTTCTTTATTTTTTAATTGTATATGAATATTTATTACATTTGATGCTTGTACTATTAATAAAAGGAGTGACCCTGTGCAAATGAATAAATAAATTTAAACAGGTTTGGCTCCGACCAAACATTCTACAATACTCACCAAAACAGCGATATTAAACTTTCTCTTCCTTCTACAACTTTGATTAAAAACTCATTTATTTACAATGGCTGTAAGATATATAATCACTTACTTGCCAAAATAATAATAATAATAGCCTTTATTACCCAAAAGTTGAAAATAATTCAGAGGGTTAACTAAGTAACTTAAAAAAGTAAGTAAGGTCCTTATAATTAAAGTTACAATTCGAGAAAATTAATAACAAAATTATAACAAAATAAAATGAATAATGTAGAATAGCTTATTGCATTTAAAAAAGTAGTTGATAACCTTTTTGGTGGATAAAGCCTATTATAATTTTGGAGTTGCAGTTTTAGACTTATATTCAATTATTTGTTGCCGTATACTTCATTTGACATTGTACATTATATTGTATCTCTTATGCTTGGTATTCATGATTCATTTCATGTACAATAAAGTATATGTAATGAATTCATCCACCCAATCTCATAGGTTAACTCCTGCTATTAATATATTTGATTTTTTTGAACGTATTCCAAAAACACTTTATTGTGAGATTTTCACTAAATTGTGAATTTAGTGAAAATCTCACAATAAAGTGTTTTTGGAATACGTTAGTTATGGATTTTCATCAAGTATCGGCCGATTCCATCATATATTTGATTTTTTGGTTTTATTGCTTAAATTAATGAATAAAGAATGCATTGCATTATAATTTTGAAAATAAAATTTCAAGTTCATCATCTAAGCAAGTTACCAGTCATTCAAAATGATATTTAAAAGGCGAAAGATGAATCAGGACGGTTGCTTGAGTAATAATTTCACTAACAATAACTCTATATCAGAAACGGATTCGAATTTTTCAATGTAAATCATACTTCTAATAGAATTAAAAATTCATCATCAGCATATCATATTCACTCACTCTGAACAAATATTTCCTATATAATATTGAAGTCAAAGGGGCCCACTTCGTCAAAAGTGTTCTGCTGACCGCCAGCGGCGTTAGGCATCTGCTGGCCCATTTGGGGCCTTGGACCATTTCCACCCATCTGTTGCACATTCATCAACTGTCGATATTGCGGTTGCTGAAATAATCGAAAAAAAAAAGATTGTATCTGATGTATAAAAGTTGAAACTGAAAGAATACATTTTATAAATGTACACAAGCAGAAAGACACAGTTTCAATTGTATATTAAAAATGTAAGGTAAACGAACCTGCTGCAGTAAATGCCTCAATCCTGGATTATTGGACATGACGGGCCTCATCATTCGCTGTTGAGGAGTTGCAGTTGCTGCTTGAGAGTTAGCCTGGTTAGCCATTTGCTGCCTCTGCTGCTGAAATTACCCATTGTTAGATACAGTTAATAATAGAATAAGATTAAATATATGAACAAATAAAAGTGACCGAATAAATTAAATAGATTTCAAAAAGAAATGAACTAAGAAGTATGAAATGATATTAATGTATTAATGAATGGTCTTTATTTCACGTGGTGAAGTTTTGTTGAATGCTATTTTTCCACTCGACCACGATATTTGTCCACCCACCATATATACGAGATTTATCAAAAAATGATATCCAAAAAGGGAGGAAAAAAATTACGAGTTCTACAAAATTTTTGTGAGATTGGTGCTAGCAAAGCCATTGGAGCCATTATTTTATATTTGATTGATACCTTTCTTAAGGGCTGGCACCGACTCAAGTTTGTAAAAAGAGGTCTTTTGTGTATTTGAAATTGTATTTGAAATATTATTTTGATTGATTTATTCTGCAGAACTGGATATTTTCAAAACTTGAATAGCCACAGTTACCCCGTAAACATTGAAGATATCCAAATTTAGATAATATATATGCATTGTAAACCAAGTACTTGTTTTTCACAGTTTGCGAACATTTCAAAGCGCTCCTAACATTAGTACAATTTTTTTTATCATCAAACTTTATATGACCAGACCAATTCAACTCATCATCTATATCAGTTCCAAATAATTTGTATCACATTCATTAAGCGCAGATCATTTATATTTGTTTGAATGCTTCCACAAACAATCAACTTACATTTTCGAGCATCTTGTAGTGCATCTCAGTCTGCTGGGCGGCCTGCAATGCCTGCTCCAACTGCGACGTCTTCATGTGACTGATCCTCTCCAACTGACTCTTGTATTGTCTCTCCTGCTGTTGGGCCGCTTCTAGGGTCTGTTTAAGCTGATTTATCTTCTCCAAATTCTGCCTACGTTCCACTTCCAATTGGTTTTCGATAGGACCGTTTTGTACGGGAGTCTGCATCATATTCTGTTGCATCGGTTGGTTGGTGCCTGGTTGAATACCTTAAAAGAAAACCACAGCACTTAATAAATCAGTATCAACCTGTAAACTACCAGTACAGAAAAATGTTGATAATTCTTACATATATTAGTACTTCAAAATACAATCAAAACTTGAAGGTACTCTTATAGTTGTAAAGTATAAAAATTAATTATCATTGATTTTTTAAAACAGCGCATACAGAATAGAATGTAGCGTTTCACCAACCAACTCTTCAGAAGTCTTCATCTCCTGAACATTTGGTGTGTAAGAAATGAATACATAGTGAAGGTAAATCTACCAACACTAATCTACTGTTGTACACCCAGTATATTTTGAATGCTCTGGAAAATAAACAACAAGTGAACGTAATTTACACCGATTTTTCAAAAGCATTTGACATCGTGAACCATAAAGTTCTTTGTGAAAAATTAAAGGCAATTGGCTTTTTTGGGAGTTTGCTGGACTGGTTCTCAAGTTATCTTTGTGATAGATCACAGTTTGTGAAAATTAAAGGATTTATCTCTCACGAGATATCTGTTACCTCAGGAGTACCTCAAAGGAGTCACTTGGGAGCTTTTCTCTTCAATATCTTTGTAAATTATATCAAAGAAAAAATTACTCACTGTGAAATACTGATGTTTGCAAATGATCTAAAATTTTTTAGAGCAATTGATTCGTTGCAGGATTGTGCGAAAATTCAAATGGACCTCAAATCTTTTTCTGATTGGTGTAAGATGAATTATATGGATGTCAATGTGGCAAAATGTAAAAGTATTTCCTTTTCAAAGTCATTAAACCTCTATACAGCTGGTTATAGTATTGCAGGGAAGAAGTTGGAACGTGTTCAATCTATACGAGATCTGGGTGTTATGATGGATGACAAGATGGACTTGCATTTACAGTATGAACACATACCTAACAAAGCGATGAAAATGTTAGGATTCATATGCAGATCAACAAAAGATTTTACCAACATTTTTTCTATTAAAATACTATACTTTGCATTGGTTAGATCAGTGATTGAGTATTGCACTTGTATCTGGTCTCCAACATACTTCAATCACAGTTATGATATCGAGAAAGTTCAGAATAAATTTCTTAGATACATTGCCTAAAAAATGAACATGCCAGCTAGAAGTCATTTGCTCTACTATTGGATTGCCCAAACTCAGTACAAGACGGGCACATGCAGACAATATTCCTACATAAATTGTTGAACAACGAAATTAATTGCCCAACTCTTCTCTGTCACGTCAATCTGCATGTTCCCCCGAGAAGGACACGTAACAACCAAACTTTCGGTCTCGACTTTCATAGGTGTAATTATGGAAAAAATTCTCCTTTGTCAAGAATTCTATAGAATGCTAATGGGACCAATATTGATTTTTTTCATATCTCTCAGAGCACTCTTAGATATACTCTGCGTGGTTTAGATTTATAAGACTATTTTTTTATCACAATTTTATTTTAATTTTCTCTATGTAGGTTGATTTATCAGATATGTAGATACTAGAATTAGAATAGTTAGAGTAGTTAACTTTCTAAGGTTAATATATTGTATAAAAATTGGGGGTTACAGTTGAATAAATAAATAAATAAATAAAAATAAAAGGAATGAAAGTACACCATAATAATACATGTTGAAATATTTACAATTTCTGAAAATCAATTCCAGCATCCTTTTCGCTGCTGATGCAACTTCAATTAAGAGTTAAAAATCCCAATTTCGAGACAAAATGTAAGTACAGTAATAATAATTTATTGTTCATATTACATAAAAAGATATAATAGCAATAGTTGTGCAGTAGCATTCTAATTCAGAGATTTATAGAAATATTTCTCCACAGACTTGGTTCCAGTTCAATTAGTAATTTGAATAGTGTTTTTCACTAATACTCTATTGTAGACTGACACCTCAAAAGCCTTTTCAAAATAAGGTAATATGGTAATCGCTCGAAAATTTTCAATTTATTTACTATCCCTATTTTGGATACTTCTCATTTTTATTTTGATTCAAAATTTATCATCTTGTATCGTCTCACCTTGCATCCTAATGTTCGGCCTCATTCCACCCTGCGCAACGTTCTGTCCGATCATTCCTCCCATCACTTGACCTGGCTGGCCTGTCGCACCTACGACGTTGTTCTGAGTTATTTGACCGCCACCCATCGTGAGGCTGTTCGTCGGCGGTATAAGTAGATTTTGTTGAGTGTTTTGTGAAGTGACCGGGTTGGAGCCAGGCATCTGAGGAGAATTCACGACTTGAGGGTTTATCGAAGGACCACCGGGGCCTCCCTGAAAATCGTAACAACCCTGTGTCCGTTTAAGAGCAGTTATGTCTAGAAGTAGTGTTTCTTATTATAAGGTAATGGGAAAAAATCTGTTAAAATCTGATTTTCGTTAAACAGCTGTCGCCCCTATACAAAAAACAACTTTCAAAAGTCGAAACTTGTGCGAGATGAGGAGTAACGTTGTGTTTCCTAGCATAGGTTGAACGACAGGAAGTGAAAATCGATCGTCAGGCCTGGCGGCTTGAATCACCGGTTCACACAGCGGTCGATTGACTAAGTGGCGCAAACCACCCGCGTCAACCCAACCGGCTACCATCCCACCATGTATGGAAAGCGATTGAATTATACTTGGGAAGTTTTTGGATGACAACTTGACATATGCAAGTATGTTAGGATTTTTTCCAATTTTGAAGACGTTAAGATAAGTATCTTAATTCTTTTTAGATGGGCAGAGGGCAGAGTTATCAAATACAACAAATTACTGTAACTTATCTGGGTAAACTTACCCTTTCAATACCCGTGTAAAGTTTTTATTTATTTATGTATATACACGGGCAAATCCAATTCAAATATAAGTAGAACAGTGTTATGTAGCACTTGGTGCAATACAGTGGATTTAAAGTAAATTATAAGAATAATACAATTTCGAAGTAAGATAAATAGATTATTTAAGAAAAATTAAAATGTATAACAATAGAACTAATATAATTCTTACATGCTAGTAACACTAGACACAATACAACAACACAAGCAGAGAGAATTAGATGATGGATATATTAAAGATTTGAAGGTTATTCAAAGAGTTAGTCAATCGAAGAGTTCTGGGAATGAAGCTGTTATATGAATAATTGAATCTGTGAAAAGAAACGTAAAACGTTTGCCCTTGTCTAGTTGAGCGACTGGGGACATATATCAATATTTTGGAGAGAAACTCGGAGCTGATACTGAGTCCGTTGATAATTTTGAATAGAAGTATTAAATCTCTGTTTTCTGCGAGCCTCAAGAGAAAGTATGTTCAAAATGCATTCCAAAGCAGTATAGTCATAATATACACGCATCTTGAAGGCAATATGTCGCAGGAAATTGTGCTGTACGGCCTACAGTAAAATTTTTATTTTTTCTGATTGTGGAAGGTGGAAATACCCAAAAAAAAGTCGGCGAAAAACTTTGATTTCTTCCACAAAAAATTAGTTTCGTTCAAGGATTTCATCAAATGGACTTGAAACAATATAATACAATATTAGTAGTCCTCAAATTTTGGAGTGCTCTTCAAAAAAGTTTGGAAGCATCAAACAAAACTTGGCAAAATTCAGAAGTTTCCAATGGTATCTAAGACATAACCTTGTTTTATTGAAAAGGACGGGTTAGGGAAAGAGATAAAAAATATTTCACAAAAATATTAGATGTTTTCGAAGCTACAGTTTTCTCTGTAGAAGTGAATATTACAGACTAGACTATAATTCTTATATACAACAATAGTGGGTACCTAACTAAAATTGGTTAATGTAAGCTATACCAGGTAGAATTTGTAAACCAGTTACTCATAGTCCTTGGACAGTAGGTAAACTTTTGAATATGGAAAAACTTATGAGTGTTATGGAATTGGTATGTCATATATTCTAAATCATTCCAGTATGTACCACATACCTTTCTTTCTTACCAACTGTAATAGCAATAAACTCCAATTGTATGAGTATAATTATAGTTCATTTTCATTGTTCATTTATTATTTTCAATCATACAATTCCACTATTTTAATTTATCTATCTACATGTTATTTTGAAATTTTTGAATGTATAATGTTGCTATTTTTGTAGAAATGTTTTTAGAAATATTTCACTGGACTTGTGTTTGTGTTTTTAAGTTATTTCTATATGTGTCCTTTTTCATTAAATATCTATCTATCTATGAATGAAAAAAGGTGAGTAGTCAGCCTCCTGTTGGTCGTTCAACAGGGAACCCGTACGTTTACCCATATTTATTTCCAGGAATTCCAGCAGGTTCAACTTCTGTCTCGTAGGTGGAATTGGTCTTCTTCAGTTCAAAACTGAAGATTACTAATGTAAAGATCAAGTTACACAGGTGATTATATTATATAAATTGTGTATGGAATAAATTGATAGATTTTATATAATCAAAAGTTTATTTTTTATTATTTAGAGCATGTTGATAAAATATTGTTTCAAAAAATATTTTCTTGAATTAATTTACTTTTCAGTTATCCCAAGTTTATTAGTTTGCTTATTTAATTCAATGTGTCTTGTTTCTTATTGGTCCCTATAACATTTGCTGGAGCTTTTAAGCACTACCAATAACATTTACCAAACTATAACTCTTTAGATTTGGTAAGGCATCTATCTTGTTTTCCTCCTTGAAACCTTTCATCATACAGGTGCATAAAAAAAGATAGACCAACCATCCATTAAGTAGTAGGCATTTAGAATGACTTCATTTCACTTTTCCATCTTTCCCAGCAACTCTTTGATTTGATATCCAAATTATGGAGTTACATAAAACAACTGGTGAGACATCTTGGACAGTCTGACATATTGAATATAAAGTGTATTCTGTATGTAAAGTGTATTTTGTATTCTTTTCAGCAAACCCTTTTATTTAATACCCATATTATAGGGATGCATAAAAACAACTAGTCCGTCATCTTGATTGATTCGCTAATTTGAATGTAGAATGACGTCACTGAGCTAATTATGCTTTGTCATCCAAAAATACATAGCAAGTTGAATAAAATCTTGTGATAATTAATGAAACATCTGAAAAACATGTTGTATCTCTGTTTGAAGATGATTTTCATTATAATTCCAATCATTCCTCAGTTGTGAGAAACTAGCAGTGGGATTTAGTTCACATCACATGAGGAATGGATAAAATTTGAACTCGAAGTCTTGTTCATTACAGAAGCATATGATTCAATATATCCAAAACCTATTATCAATAACACAAAAAGTCATACCTGTCTCATCTGTTGTTGATTGGATTTCTGCTGTTGGATCACCTTCCTCAGTCTGTCAACAAAAGCTGCCTGATCATTGGGTATGAACCCGAGATAGGCTCTTTTGTCGGCTGTATACAGTAGTATGAGTACCTTGATGTCGCATGGCGAGTGATTTTGTTGGATACTCGTGAAGTGGACACACCCTGCCTAAAAAAATATTCATCAATCATGATACACACTGAAGTTTAAATTGAATGGAACTCACAAATCCAGAACTCATGACTCTCGTCAGAGACTCCAAGGCATCACATGCCTGAGGATGGAATAAGACGGACTTGGAATTCTTCAAATATGCTCCACCAATATTCCCGATCAACTGTTTGGGCATAAGCTGCATGATAAGCTTCTGGGGCCAGCCATCAGCTTTTCTAAAATTTTAATGGACTTAGCACTCTTATACAAGATTTTTAATGGGTCATTTATAATTTTTATTGAACCTCAAAAATGTTTATATGAGGGAAAAATATTTATAAAATAGCAATTTTTCATTTCAAGAGCATGTACTTTTTCTGAGTTGGCTACAGACAGGGACAGTCGTCATTTCAATTGTTCAAGACGTTACTTCAATTAAATAATAAGAAAACTAAATGGAAAACGAATACAATGACAAACACTTCAAAGTCGTTGTATGATGAAACTGGGTTATTCGGTGTTAGAAAAAACTTACATTTTTCAGAGTTTATTATGGACTGCTAATTCTTCTATAAAATTTGTACAGCATGCTTTCAATACTCGTAACAGTTCAGTTAAGACCATGAATGTTCCACGATCTGGGACCCAAACTTTACAACACTCTACCTGAATCATTGAAAGGCATGAAAAACAAACTCAAATTCAAAATAGAGTTGAAAAAATTTGTTGACAATAATTAAGATATGCTTCTTCTGATACTTGAATAAGAAATATCTATTATTAGAGGTGTCTTTCAGAGCGCATCACAGACAGATCTTTCTCTCTCTTTCTCGTCCTCTATCTTCTTCTAACTATCTCTTCCTTTCTACAATCTGTTCCCTATGTTTGGTTATACAGGAAAAGATATACTATTTAGTTTGCTAGCTACAATACAAGCTTGCTTAGGTAGCCGTAACTTTCATTAGAATTTTATAATCTCTACATTTCATGTATCTTTATTAATTTATTTTATTTTATTTCAATTTTATTTTTTATCCTTTTGTCATAGACGACTATGTCTTTTGTCTTATTACTGAATTGAATAAATTTACTTACTTAAATAGCAAATGAAACTCAACAAAAGTCAATATAAATATCAACCACTTGTGACAACTGACACTTATACAAAGTTTTAATTCTGCTTAATATATACAATTTTCATTTTTACTTAAATAAAATATTTGAAAAGTTGAATGATATTGTAAATTTTATGTGAATATTTGAGTTAACCCAAATCAGAAAAATGACAGCGGCCTCAAACATGAACCCTGAGGTGTTATATAATGGCACACATTCTGGCACTAGGGAAGAAACATGTAAACTAGTAAATGAGAAATGCTGAAAAATACTCACAGTTCAGGTTCCCCATCCTTGCAATTAGCCGACACTTGACATGGAACGTGTTTGGTAATCTTCTGTTGATCTGTGGCATTCTTCGGCTTCTCTATCCATTCCAAAAGCCCTTGCCAGATGGTGTTCCTCTCTCTCACGGAACCCATCTGCTGAGGTTGTCCTTGGACCCCTTGCGCCATGCCCTTAAAACAGGACTCTCAAGGTTAAAACGGAGGTCAAGGCAAAAATTGAACCAAACTCACCTGAGATTGAGAAGTGACCACTTGGTTTGCTTGAGACACCTGGGCCATGGGGGTCATGGAAGTCTGTACGTTCCCAACGTTTCCTTGTGGGTTCATTGTCATTTTGTTTATAGGTGAGTTAGCAGACACTGAAATAATTGATGATAATTTTTTGATATCGACATTGTCGACAGGTATCTTACTTTGTCCAAATTGATTGACTCCGGTTGCTGTCATCGATGAAGGGGGTCGTGTAAGCTGGTCGATCAGTGCACTGCCCTGAGTGGCTCCACCCTGCTGGTTGGGCTGCTGCAGGTAAGGACGTGGTTGTTGCACGGGAGGAGGCATAGGCCAGTGCGGAGACGTGCGATTTACGTGACCTAAGGAACATACAGTGTGTAACAACAAAAACTTAACAGAGCCGTTTTTGAATATAAAAAGTAAGATTTTTAAAAAAAGCTAGCACACGTCGATTTTTAATTAAAGGGGGACACCTGTCAGACTAATCAGATTTTTTTAAGTACGCACCCCCTCGAAGGGGTGCGTCCGACGACCCTTATTTAGATAGGGACCGGTGTGTTTCTCATTTATTTCAATGACTTGGTCCATGTTGTGTTCACGTTTAGATGTAACATAGGGGAAGTACACTTGGAAAATGAATAAAATTGAAAATTTGGAGAAAAACAAATTTTGAGGGCTCTTCATTGATGGAAATCTAAAATTTGATTTCCATGTCGACTACTTATGTAAAAGACTAGCAGCAGGATGTCATGCAGTGAGAGTTGTTGCAAGAGAGTTAGACACTATTATCACAAGATCAGTTTATTTTGCACAAATTGAGTCCTATTTACGTTATGGAATTTGTTTCTGGGGAAATTGTGCAAAATTTCGTTTCGATATGGTATTCTCTCTACAAAAAAGATCCATCAGCTATTTATGCAAGGCTAGCTACAGGGATTCATGCCGCCCATTATTTGTGAAGCAAAAAATTCTGACCTTAGTGTGTCTTTTTATTTTGGAAACAGTACGTCTTATCCACAAAAAATATAAAAATCAATTTAGTAACACCTCAACTTATAGTACACGTCAGTCTTACTCCGTTTCCCTTCCCACACCTTCTCTAGCCCTTACACAAAATTCTATTATTTTCAATAGCAAGAAGTTATTTAACCACCTTCCCATTAATTTAAGGCGAATATATAATGGAAAGAAATTCAGAAAGAAAGTGAAAGAATACCTTGTTGGGAGGCCCTATTATAGTGTGGACGAATTCTACCAAGGCTTTATCGAATAATTGGCATGTAGCTTTGTGTAAACAAGTTAGTGAAACCAACACGAAATGGCTATTAATGTTCATTATGTAGCATTATATATGTACATTTACCTAATATTCATAAATTCATGTACTTATATTTGTATCTGTTCAGCTGGACTTAATATTGTTCTGTCCATATACTCTGCTCTTGTCTCTAAGCATTATTTTATAGTTTATATTTGTTAATTGTCCCATATACATGTTTTACTTTACTAGACTTTGCCAGTAGGATGTTCATATCTTGGGTAATAAAGCATATTTTGATTTGAAACTATTATTTTCTTTTCATATTACTGAAATCACACTGAAATCTTAAAAACTTCTAGGTTATGTATCCAGGTTAATATTTTCAAAATTCTATTTTGTTCCTTAGTGAGGTCAAATTTGGAATACGCCTCTATTGTATGGAGTCCTTCTTATTCTATTCACAAACTGTCACTAGAAATAATTCAGAATAAATTTTTAAAAACTGCCGCTTTTAAATTAGGAATGCAAGTAGGTCTTTACCACAACAGTGACGTTCAATCTATTCTTCCTTCAACTCCTTTGGAAAATAGGAATATTCAAATAGATTTACTTTTTTATATAAAATATTGTCAGGGCACTTTTATTGTCCTGAACTACTCAGTTTGATTAATTTTAAGGTGAAGCAACGTGAAACAGGGGATGATACATCTGTCTTCATGGTGAACAGGCACTTGACAAACTATGGACACTATAGTCCTCTATCAAGAATTCTGAGAGGCTAACGAGTTAGGTCTCAATTTTTTCCACAACTCTTTGGAAGTATTTAAACAGGAGGCCAAGAATTATGTATTTTCTATTTAATTATGTTTTTACTATGTTGGTTGTTAATGCGATTATATATCAGTTTTAGTTGGTTTTTACTGTATAGGATACTACTTATATACTTTTGTATTCAATCATTGTAAAACAGGGGTTTCCCTTTTATACTGAATAAATAAATAAATGAGTAATACTTCTTATTGACTGTACGACCATGTGACCACTTGTAAAATTTCTTCTGACTCAGAGTTCAATCACCGTATGCCACTGTCAACATTTCAAGGGTTTCTGGGCATCAAATTTCGTGTTTTTTATATTGGCATGTTCTTGTATTGTTCAACGATAGTTTTAGGATTAGCACATATCATGTGATGCTTTTCATACATTTAAATACGAACATGGTTGGAGAATAAATAAATTTTTCTGGCTACATCTCTCCAGGTTCATGATTATTCAATTATCTAAGGATCACTACTCGTTTTTCTTACATTAAATCTTGTCATTATTGCTTGCAACTCACTGTTTTATTATTTTTGAAGCCATTCGTTAAACTTTTCGCAAGCCCAAATCAATAATAATAATTTTTTTTGGTCTCAAGAAACATAAAGTTTGTAGACACAGGTCAGTAGAAAAATACATTTTAAAATTCATATAAGGTCATACATTAAAATTGGTTAATGATAAAGAAAATAGAAGGTATACCTAACGCAATAGAAAAGCTAAATAATACATAAAAACAATGGCATTATACATTATAAATATATAAAGTATGTAGATAATGATGAATTGTGCTATCAGTATAAATAAAACTACAGGTTTCTGTGGGGTCATGAAGATATTTCTGTTTTTCTTGACGAATGTTTCGAATTCCAAGTATACTATAGAAACAGTTATTGGATAGTATCTGTTTTAATTGATTTTTGAATTGCGTCGAGGGTCTATTCCTAAACTCTGTGGGAAGAAGGTTGAAGAGCCGTATGTCGTCTCTTTGCGTTCGTTGCAGACGACATAATGGCACCAAGAAATTGTGTTTGTGTCTGGTATCATGAGGGTGAATTGAAGAGTGTGTTGCATGTTCATTTATATTTGACTTAACTGTTATTATACTTTGATACATGAACAGTGAGTAGATGGTCATGATTTTTAATGAAGGAAATAGTTCTCTACAACTGGTATCCCATGGTACATTTAAAATAGATCTTATTGCCGTTTTCTGCAATGTGAAAATTCTCGTAATATGTGAAGATACTGCATTACCGTAACACTGTATTCCATACATCAAGTGACTATGAAACAATGCATAATACGCAGATACTGTTGCTTCCATGTTTGTGACATGTCGTATTTTTCTTAGTGCAAATATCACTTGCGACAGCTTGTTACATAAACAGTTTATATGGGCTGTCCACCTCAGTTGTGGGTCTAAAACTATACCTAGAAATTTTATGTGCTCATTTTCAACCAAACTATTTGTACCATTTACACTAAAGATTTCACAACGGGTTTTGGTCTCATTCAAAAAAAGATCATTGGCTGTGAACCAAATCTTAGCATGTGCCATAATATCTTGATAAATAGGTAAATGATCAGTCCCCTTTTCAAGTTGTATACAGAAAGTTGTGTCGTCGGCAAACATATTTGTTAGTAAATTATTGCAGGATATGGAATCTGGCATATCATTTATGTATATCAGAAATAAGAGTGGTCCCAGTACAGAACCCTGGGGCACCCCTCTCGTTACAGACATATACGAACCCATGACATTGTCAACAACTACTGCTTGGCTACGATGAGATAAGTATGACTTGAAGAAATTAAGACAGGTACCACGTATCCCGTATCTGTTTAGTTTTAATAATAAAATCNTAAATGCGATTAAAAAATGTACTAAACCAAAAATTATTTTCGTTCGTAACAACTTCACCCTTTCAAGGCAAGTTTCGAATATAAACTGAAGCTTTATATTTAATGAATAAACACCTCAGGAACCTCCGCGTATGATTTTACGAGTTTTACGACCGTTTTATGACTTGGGCCCTCATTTTGTGCTATCGACAAATTATGAACGGACTATAGATAGTACGGAACTATTCAAGTAAATTTGCCATTTTTTTGATATGAATACGAGAAATCTTACCAGTATTATGGTAACCCGGAGGAGCGTTAACCTGCATCATAGGCATTTGTGGATTGCCCATCATTCGTCCCCCGCCAACATTTAAACTTCCTACCCCTTTTTGCTGTGCCATGTTGAGTCCTTGAAATAAACCAGGTAAATAAATCAACAGCAACAAAAATATTCATACAACAGGCAATCTATAAGCCTATAGTTATTTGATTTTTTACCTGGAGGTCCTTGGGGTCGATAGACATTATTCTGTCCTACAGCAGCTACAACGCCAGCAGAAGCATTGCCTAGAATGTTGACATTCGGTTCTCGGGTAGGTATAGGGCTGTCGCTACCAGGCAATGGACTGGGAAGGGAGGTTATAGGTATTCCTGTGTTTGCGATTTGGGACTGGCTTGATGTAACATTTCCTGCTGGTGGGCTGATGGGTCGTTCCTTGAGACTGATGTAAGAAAGAATGTAGCGCAAGTACAAATAATTTCAAGGCAAAAATACGAACATGATTGAATTGATCCCAACTTCATAGTTTAATGAAAATTTTCGATAGATTGAACATTTTACCCTGTAGTGTTAATTTTTATTCTTCAAGATAAAATATATATAAACACAATGTTCAGTCATAATAATTTTCTTTGGGTCTAGTATGATTTTCACATTATTGTTTCTTATTTTATGGGTTTGGCTTGCTTACCCATACCATTATTACACTGAGGGTCGAGAAAAGCTGCCGCAACCAGAATATTGCTACATCTTGAAACTTCAAATCAACATAGGAATCCTACTGTATTGATAAAAATTCAGATGTTTGTAATGTTAACTTGTTCTTATGGTTTGGTTTTTAAATAATATCTACACACATCGGAAAAGTCTAGGGATATTTTTAAAAATGGCAATAATTTTTTTTTAGATCGCTTTAGGGAAAAAAAGTTGACGGGTGATTATTAAACGAATGTAACTTACAACAAAATTTATTAAATGGTCAAAAATACTGAGTGCGCATATAAGCNAACTTGATAAAAGATTAGTTACCGTTTTTGCAGGCTTTGTTCAACCCATAGAAATCTACAGGGTGGTCGAGTGTACCAATTTAATCGAAATTAAACGACCTCATACATTTATTTTTATGATATTTAGTATGTTATAAAAATATCCCTAGACTTTTCCGATGTGTGTATATCTACATTGGTTCAAATAATATAACTTATTGCACGAAACTGTGATTTGAACATCCAATACAAATGAATCCAATATTAATCAAATACAATCGATAAGGAAGATCTCTTCAGATTGTTCCAGAAAATCTTACTGCTTCAGATGATGCTCTTTGTTGAAGAATAAAACAAATTTTTCCAGGAAAAAATTGCAAACTCCCATTTGGAGCATGCCCAGAAAAAAAGAGTGCAAGGGAATGACAATACCTGATGTTAATTCCAACCACGTTTGTATAAGATGTAATTTTGATGTTTTTATGAGTTTTTTGTATAGTCGACCTGAAATAGAATATATCAAACCTATCAATGTATTACATTACACAATTTATAGGATACAAAAGCTTGTCGCAAGATTTACCAATTGTAAGTTACATATTGTATTCTTTTTTCTACAATGTCAATATCGAGGCAAGCTTTTATATTATATATAATGTGTTTGTTCTCAAAAACTTTTTTTTTTGGATAATTTTTCGCTGGTTTTGTTTTTCCTATGTCTGTTCATTTCAATGAATGTTTCACTAAATATTACTTCAAGAGGAAGAACTGTCTGAGCTTCCTCTTGAAGATCACTTGGTGATCGAAACATGTGTCGAGGTGTTAAAATAACGGTTTGGTGTTGGTTCCAAACCAACACCAAAGGTTCCAAACAGTGCATCACGATTATTAATGTGTCACTGTTGCATGATTGGCCCATACAATATTTTTTCGAGCACCATCAACTATTCCTAACATTTGTGTTGTTTTTCCGGGTGTTCATCCGTTGTGTACTATACGATAGTCGACGTTTCGCCATCATCTCAGATGGCATTATCAAGACGTGTTACTGCTTCGCTTCGAGAGGTGTAACTGATGTTAGATTCTTCTTGTGGTGTTTTTATATGGTTTCGCTTGCGTAAATTGTATGGATTTGTTACCTGTTTTTCTACCTGAGGGTTGTTGATGGCTTCTGGCAGTTCTCCTACCTGGTTTGTGGTTGTCTTTGGGGGTTGTTTTTAATTATTGTTTTCCAAATCCCTTTTGTTGATGAGATGTTGATTTTTATAAAGATACTAGATTATAGTAATCTTTTAATGATACTTCAATACTAACACTTTCACCCAAATTTTTGAAAAGATGGGTTAATTCTTCTGCTAAGTAGTCCACATGAAGCTTCCAAGTTGGGAATAAGTCAAGCATTACTTAAGGAAGTTTCGTATTTGATTTCACCTTTGATGAATCAAAACTTTTTTTATTGAAGTGTGTAACTGCTTTCTGTCACATAAGTAGGAAGTTTCAATTCAATTTGTTAAATTACCACTGAAGATAATGTACTAATGGATATAAATGAAATATTAAATAAAAGTCTAGGTATAATATTACACATTAGTCATAGGTAATAGTTTAATAGTTTTTATCAAATACATACAGAAACATTCAACTTTTTTTCCAAAACAATAATTCACAGTATACTTAAATTTCCATATTGCAAGAGTACCTACATACATCATTCATACATACATAAATACATACATACAAACAAACATGGCAAGTTATTGAAAAATCAATCCCACCCAAGTGCTGGTGAAATCCACAGGGCAATATGAAATGAGCATAAAAGCATAAGGACAAGAAATTATTCTATAAAAAGTAATCAATGATTACTTGTAATAATCAAATTATAAATACTAGAAACATTTTGGTTGCTTCAGTTTATTTGATCCTCAGTGTGACAATCCAAATCCACTGTTCATTAGTTAACGTAGTTGAACCAATACAAACATATGTGATTGGTGAAACACTTCATTTATTTTATTGCTTATTAAAAACTGAAACATTGTCTCACCTGAATCCTTTAAGTAAAACTAAGTGCCTTGGATCCTTTGCATAGTTTTTAGTTTGGGAAGAAGACAAGTCTCCACCAGCTTTCTCAAACAACTTGTAAAGTTGAGGTATTTTCCTAGGTGATACCACCGAAAAATTGATGTTTTTCTGAAATGGATTCAATTTACTATACTATCAAAACCTTGCATTGTGTATTTTTATCACCTCTTGCAATATAGTAGCAAGCTGTTCAGCAGACTTTCCGGAATAGACATGAGATTCCAGAACTGGGAGAGAATATGGCGGAGAATTGCAAACGAGAACACAATGTTTTTGAACAGAAGAAGTTGCATCTCTTTTTTGTTGTAAATCCTCGAAGCAATGCAATGCTGTTGCTAGGCCTTCTGCAATATTAGAATGGGACTCTCCTTTACCTCCAATCAAGCTAGAAATGTAATGCAATGCTGAAATATATTCAAGCCAATGATATTCTGGTAAAATACAATTCAACAAACTCATTTAATGAATACATGACGCAATTGTAAAATTCATGTTTCATTTGCTAGATTGAGGATCACTGGTGATTTCCATTTTTCTTGCCTCATCTCGGAGAACAGTAGGACTGTTAACGAATTTAAAAGAGTTTTTCGGAATCTTCTACTGGAGGATAATTTGTACTCCATTTTACAATATTTTACTGATAGCTTTCAGCATATAATGTAATGCGCATTGAAAGTTTTTTTGTAAGGTGATTTTTCCTATATAAATATATTTTTTTGCTGATGGAACTGAAACGATTTTGTATTTTGAAAATTGTTTTCCAGTGAAATCTTTCTGGAATTGTCATTTAATCTTAGTGAACTTCCGAAGTTGAAATTCAAGGAAAAACATTACGGACTTGAAATTTTTGTGAGAAAAGGTTCATGTTTCCTTACTCCAATTTGTCAATAGTGTTCAGTAGTTTTGTAGGACTTGAAAAAGGTCCATAGGTATCAGTACTTGGGTGAGGCAAGCAATCGGCAGCTTGGTAGGTGACAATTCCGTACAGCGAGTTTGCATTTTCTGATACGTAGTTAGTGTCATCTATATTTCCTTGGCTGAAATATCTGAAAAAAAACTTTGGTTAATTTTGTGAAATACACAAACAAGGAATTTCTTCAAGAAACATAATAATCAGTAGTGTAATTGTAATCAAAATGTAGCAAGGTTACACTGATAAAATCAGTACCTCAAACTACATTCAATTATCCGTTCATATTCATCAGAGATAGGTGAGGTGGCTGGAAGTTTCAGAAAGTTTTTTTATTAAAAAAAGAACCTGAGTTGTTACTTTTTGTATGTGTATGTTTTAAATTGCTGCTTACATCAGAAGAACTCCCTAACACAATAAAATATAAAAAAATTGTGCAACTCTAGCATTTTTTAAGAATGCACTTGAATCAGTTTGAATAAATAATTTAATCTTTATATGGTGAGTTCTAAGATTCATCAAGGTATGTATGTATACAAAGTTCTTACTCCAAAGATGGAATGATGTAATTTGTTTTGATATCATTAATGTAAGCTCCATTTACTGCGGTTCCTTCAATAAGAAAAATTACATCTGCTTGAATCCCGTGTTCAGCCGGACAAACAACCATGTTTGTGTAATATAAAAGCAAAATATACACTTTCTATCAGACCAACCACACTTTCAACTATTTACTATAGTGATTCGAATTAAAAATAATCGATAATTCGATTGTCATAAGTCATAATAAATCGAGATATCGAATATCGAATCGTTATCAAGATTATTCGAATTATTCTTCTTCTTCTAATGATGTGGTCATTGCTTCATTGGCTCATTTGACATTATTTGCATCGCAGAACATAAACATTTAGCTTTTTCCGATTGCTTGTACCAGAATCACAAATGTTTTTACATATTGTCACTTTCAAGCCTATCGCTGATAATACGTGTTTTTGTTTGCTCTAATCCTACTCCAGATTGAGTTATTTCCGGCTCTATGTTATTTAATCAAGCAACAACGAATAACGTTTGATAGGAAAGAACCAATTTAGAGTAAGATTAATGTTAACAAAACACATCCAATACCAAAGCCAATTGAGAACGGTTGGCACTGATTTATCTCAAAAATTAATGTTATGAAACATTATTCCAAAACTGGAACATAAAACTCAATGAACAAAATGAACAATAAGTTGACAAACTCCAAATAAATTCTCAACACTCAGAAATGAAGTAAGACATTGTTCTTAGTTTACAGTAAAATATCACAGTTTATTCTAATAATATACATTCATATACTAAACAACTTATGCATTATCGATGTCTATTGAGTCTTTTGCGCATTGCAAGTGATTTATAATTCGAATGATTATTCGAACGTTTCGATTATCAAAATAATTCGATTATGCCCATCACTGCTTTCAATCATGCACAATAACGAATAATATCAGTGTTGTTATTGGGAAATTTTCAATTGTATCTAAAGTAGAAACTAGAGAGAGCCGAAAACTTATCAAATCTGTCGAACGTGCCCACATATCATTTAATTCTTCTGATTTGTGACAGTACCCTGTACACTAGTTGAACTCCGAGCAAACACTACTAGAGATATAGCAACTATCTTGGGTAGAGAGGTTTCAGTCAATGGTTTATTTTTTGATGATGATGTATGCGGAATCTCGTTTTATTATGTACATTGATTTCATCGAGTAATTCTCACTTCGTGAATGACGAAAAACTTTGTAGATAGAGATCAAATATTTTTCTTCTGCTTCTATCACATGATATTGACTATCGATTGAGCACTACTTTCCGAGAAAGAAATTATATACGTCAACAATACTTTTACCATAGGCATTTCAAAAATGTTTTGATTAAAATGCCGTTACAAATCTTCGTTTTCCTAGAGTTTTATACCGCCACCATGCGGTAATGCAAAGTAAGTTGAGAAGAAGAATAGGACTGTTTGACATTGTTGGCAACTCTAGTTACCGCTATTTCTTATTATCGATGGTGCTGCCATACCATTGAAGTTTCTAGCGTGACAGCGTTCTTGTGTTGTGGTAATGTGCGGTATTAAAATAAATTGTATAAAGTTCGAATTTATGAAAATTTTCATAGTTTTGAATTGCCATACAGATCAGTAGTAAACTGATGCACATGTTTAACTTTTTGTAGTGTGTATTTATGGTGCTGTAGAATTGATATTGGTAAATGACGCATCCTAAATTACAGCTTTCTTGTTATGTTATATTAGACTGCCTTCATGTGAATTGAGTGCGATGCATCCCGAGTTATAAGGTAGTCATAAGTTTTTGATATGGAGAGTGCCAAGAGAACACGTGGAAGATCTAAATCGAAGTCGCTCTCAGAAAGCGAACCAAATACAAATTCTGAAAATTTTGGGAAGGAAACGGCGCCAAATTTGAATGGTGATAGAGATAGAGAATCTGCTATGGATGAAAAAATTGATTCTGTAGACGATGCTGGCAAAGAAAACGAAATGACAGCTGAAAAATTAGAGGAACCATCTATCGAAGAAGGAGCTAAGGTTCCGAAAGGAAAGAAACGTAAAGCTTCGGAAGTAAAATCTGAAGATGAAAATGCCAATGAAGAAAGTGTCTTACCGAAAGTAGAAAATGCAAGCCCTTCGGTGGAGCCAGATCCCAACGTGGATATTAAAGGTTTGTGTAATGTAGGACTACGATGATTGATATATAGTTGATTGTTCATTTTTCTGGTTTGCGTTTTTGACTGACTGACATCACAAATCTGTATATATACTCAGTATGTGCTGTACTTTGTCACATCATAAACAATCTATTAAGATACGGTATTTTCCTCCAGAAATGAAACTGGACGGTCCATAAGGCCTCCGAGGTTGATATACCAAGGTACATTTTCCTCAATCTAGTGCTTACCCACTTTGGTCAAGTAGGAAGCAACACAAATGCTGAGAATAAAAATAGTAATAATATTTATTGACTGTTCGTAATACAAGCTGATACAAGCAAGTCACAAAAGATTGACAGAATAGTAATAATAAGTATACATTTGAAAATGTTTAGATATACGTCTCTTTAATTGAAAGATTATAAGATAATTACATAAAAATTATTGAAAACTGTGAAGCATTACTCTAATAATAAGGCATAACTTCCTACCTGTTTTAATGATTATGGTGGCACTGTAATGTGGAGACTTTTTATAGAATTTCGTTCAATGAATATTTTCAAGTCATCAGCAAACATTAATGTTACAGAATGACTAATTTCAGTTTTGATATTACTAAAAACATTAAATAGGAATGTTCCTGAATGGTTTCTTTGCGGTACCCCTGAGCTGACAGATTTTGTGAGATGTAAATCCTTTGATTTTCAATACTTGTGCAAAAAAAATATGTGTTACATCTAATTGCTGTTCATTAAATTGAATTAGATGAAATCTTGTATTCACAAAATAATTCCAACAAAAATCCTAATTGAAATTGTCAAAAATTATATCTATTCCAAATAATTTTAACATAATTTTCTATCGAATTTGTTGGGGAATTTATGGAACTGAGTTAATAAATGACTGCCTCCTGAAGATAACTTTATTTTTACAGAAGAACCTGCCGAAGTAGATTTCAATGCTGATCTCCAACTTCCCTCCAAACAAACTCTTGGCAAGGGTAAACGAGCTCGCATCCCAAACAAAAGATATAGCGACATCCCAATGTCGCCCCATAACAGACAAAAATCGGCCGAGAATGGATCTGAACAAATAGAATCTGAAAATGATTCTCTCCTGAAAGAAGTTTCAGTGAAAGTAGAACCCCTCAGTCCATCTGTTGTGTCACTGAAATCTAGAACCAGTTCTGGTAGCCCATTGAATCCTCACAAAAGACAAAAGGTATCTGTGGACTTATCCGATCCAAAATATCTGAAGCCGTTCAATTTTGGTTGGAAGAGAGAGTTGGTGTGGCGAGCAACGAACGAAGTTGGCTCCAAAAGAAATGGGGATATATATTACTATACTCCGTCAGGAAAAAAAGTTCGTTCAATGAGGGAGGTGTCTGAAAATTTGAAAAACAAGGAATTATCTCTGGATAACTTTACCTTCTTCAAGGATTCCTTGGGTATTGATGACACAGAAAAGGAAATTATAAGAGATGCTAAGAAGCCAACTCTAGTACCATTGGCAAAGAAGGCACTACTGAAGGCAACAAAAACTCCAAAGAGCCCCAAAATGCCGGCAGCATCTCCTAAAGTCCTGAGCCCAAAGATTTCCCCACCAAAAGTCGCTACCCCAAAGGTTACCACCCCAAAAGTCACCCCGAAAACTGTCACTACAAGACTCACCAGCCCCAGGAAAGCGGTCCTAAACGAGACAGCAGATACTCCTGTGGTCAAACCCAAAGTAGTTAAAACCGCAGGAACTCTCAAGGTAATTTGTTATTATTTTCAAGAGGGTTTAAAAAATCACACAGTACAATCAGGCTTGATGGATGACATTCAAGTCAATTGTGCATGTCAGAATTGTTGAGGTAAAGTTTATTGTGATTTCAGATGAAACTTTCTGCTAAGAAGGATGCTAAAACTTCTCCAGCTAAGCCTGCAGAGAAAATGGAGGTAGAAATAACCCCTGCTAGAACACCATCTGTAAGGAAGTCTGGAAAGTGGTCAAAGTAAGTTATCATTTGTTTGTGCTAGTTTCGTTATATTATTCTTAAGTCCCTTGTTTGAAATACTGCTCACATTGATTCTCATTTGATTTCAATGTATAATATATCTAGGAGATATCAATCTTTCCACACCTTTTGCATATTTTGATTCGGGGGTGTTTCTCTGAAGATATTTTTTTCTACATCAATTTCTACACTGTAATTGTCGCTTTCTTTTATTTTTTCATTTCCTATTTATTTTGAGCCATGTTTAATTCTTCAAGAAGTACTGATAATGATGACTTCACCTCTTAAAGATCAGATTAATGATAACAATGTTTTTTTTAATGTGTCCAAATGGCCAAACAGATTGAATCAGATACTCTTTATAATAAATTTCTCATATGAAATCTTCCTGGGGTAATTTCTTTGCATCTGTTACTGATTCTGAAAATAACCTGTGGTACGTAACGTACATTAAATGTCACATGAGAAACATCAAGCGGTGTCATATCAGGTGATCTAGCAGGACTTTCTTACAAATCACATTTGCGCTTATCCACCGGATGGATGATTATCGTCTAGCCACTTCGAACCTGTCTGTCATAATGAGGAGGTACCTCACCTCGTTGAAATGTTACATCAGTTGAAACCCACTTGAGTTTGTCGTTTATCCAAACCAGTAGATATGCATATGTTGTCTCTTTGAATGGTACGCTAGATTAGCCGATATAACACCTAGATGTTTTTGATGATTTTTTTGTTGAACTAAAATTGTTTGCATGATTGCACATATAGGGTTCAATATATAACTTTTATTTTAATAATCCTGCTATTATAGAAATTATTTGATATTTGTGATGGAATCTGCTGATACTTGATGAAAAACCATACTCAACCGTATTCAAGAAACACTTAGTATAGGACACCTGAAAAAGTTATTTTATAGCGAAACATATGTTGTGTATTTTGTGTTTAGTGAAAATCTCACAATACAGTGTTTGTTGAATTATTTGGTGTCATTTTAAGGCTCGGCTCACATCACACAAGTTTAGTTTCTTTGTATCTGTGCATGATATTCCTTTATCATGAGATATGCTTCTTTCGATTCTTTGCCTTTATTATCTCTATTGTATTTATTGTTATATTTTTGTTTCGAGACAGTTCAAACATTTTCTCACTGCCTGTGAGATGGAGAAAAAAGTTTGATGAGGAAGTTTTTCTTAAACCTTCTAAATGTGATTTCAGCATGAGTTTGGTCTAATTCCTTCCTTATTTATACCATTACAAATCTCTGTTATTTTCATACATTACCAATTCATCTTCATAAATTCAAACTTCATAATTCCTGTAGGAATAATGTATTTCACTATACAACATATTCCTCAGACGTGTTCAGTACTAACTAAATTAATTTCCAACTCATGAAGGTTAAGCTGTATGATTGTTCGTCTTCTAGACAGAAACCTGTTGATTCAGTATAACAGGGATTCCTAGATTTGTTTACAATTTGCCTACCTCAAAATCTTTTCCAATTTAATGACAGGTTTTACTCTTGCGGCGAAGGCTATTAATGGAAAACCTTTGCTTCATGGATAACATTAGGTACTAGATATTAAGTTATTGGCTCTCATTATGTAAGGTAAACATTCCTCTTGAAACGTATGAAAACATTAGCATAGTCGTTGAGAGAATAGTCCTAATCATCTCATGATGATGCTAACTTGTTTAGCGAAACACGTGTCGAGAAACAGCATTTTTGTTCTGGTGCGGAAAAGTGTTTTCATTTCATTCATTTCACGCCAGAGGTTCCTAATTCTACTTAGCGAGTACGGATACAAGCTTTGGACCAAGTCTATCCAATTTCAATGAACGATAGTAAGTTTTATAGGAATCCCAAGGTAAGTAATTGGAGAAAATTTATTCAAAAACAGTAAAGACGAAACTTCAGTGTTGGATGCATTGGCCAAACTTATAGAATGTTCTCTAAAAGAGTAAAAGGATGAAGCAGGGTGACACTCAGTCTATTGGTATGCTTAGAAATCAATAGATTTCAATAATTTCCATAGGGGACAATTTGTTTTTAATGATGAAATTGGTGAAATTGGTGAAATTTTGATTATGGTAATATGAAACTCAGGTAGTTTTTTGTTTTTATTTCATATTACTGGAGTTTTTTCCCAACACCAAATCGTTATTTTTAACACCTCGACACGTGTTTTGATCACCAAGTGATCATCTTCAAAGAGGGAGATTAAAACTAGAAATAATGGGGAAGCTAACCTTATTTATGCTATATAGGTATCCCATACAGGCAAACCATCCAGGTGTACCACCCATAAAGGTATGCCAACCTAAATTAATTTTACAATTTTGCCTTATCTATTTCGTTTCATGTCCAATTTATTAAGATTGTTTTCAGAAATTGTAAAAGTTTATTAGTCAGATAATAAAACTCATTAAGCTTCAAATCACTATAATATAAGAAGCATATTGCAGATATTATTTTAATTAGTAGTGAACACTGGTCTATAGTGAAACACGTATTGCGATTTTGTAAACCGCCAAGAGAAAATCTCACAATCAAGTGTCATTTAAATATGTTGTAATGGATTTTCATCGAGTATCGGCCAGTTCCACCACATGTCCAGTAGGATTGATTCTTTAAGTCGTGACAATGAAAATGCTAACACGATGTTCAAAGGACGACTAAGATGAAATAAAATGATTATTTGTGACACCAATATATTGGCATGAAAAATCCAGGTTTTTGTCTAGCCCTGATCCATCAATTTATTTGATTTAAATTATTTTTGATTTCAAGCAGTTTTGAGAAACACCCCGACTCGTATCAGTTTACTTTGTTCAACAATTTGCTAACTCTCTCGTCATGTTCGAGTTTGTGAAAGGGAAGAAACCAAGTAAAAAGTAGACGTAGTTTTATCAATTTAGTGAAAATAAAATGAAGCCATTCATTTTACAGTATTTCAAGCTATTTTGTTTTTATTTGATGTTGTATTGGAAGTAGTTTTACGCCTGAAACAACCCAACCATTCATATCCCTTTCCCGTTATCTCAAACCAAACGTATTGCAGTTTTAATCAAGAAGTGAACAAGCCGTGTCGACCCTGCTCCATGAAGTGTGAGGGAGTGCGTGGTATTGTACCGACGCTGCAGTGTAGACTGTGTCTTTGTCTGTACCATCACGAGTGCTTAGGATTATCGACGGAAGTGTCACAGCCATACGTGTGCAAGGTATGATGTCCTATGAGACGGTTCATATTTTTATTTTTTGATTGTTTCTTGCTTGTTGGTGAGTGAGAGAGCTGGGTGTTGAGGTCATCTCGCTTTGGATCCCCAACGTGCAGATAAGATTGATGTTTTGTTTTAATTTTTTGGTAAACGTGTTTTTCAACAAGCTGACATACATACTAATTATTTTTGGCTTATTATAGCTGTTGGACAATAAATGGATTGTAATCATTAATACAGAGTGGTCACTTTTACAGTTCTGCTATATAAGAACTGTGTGAACATTATGTGTGTGAACATTATAAGAAAATTTTATTACACAATGAGGAAAATTATGACAAGTTTCAGTTTATGACATTTCAAGACATATTTGGAAGATCTCAGTTTCTTATCAGTCTTTTTTCGATAACAGTTTCATAAATGATGAAAAAATATCATGAAATACAGAAATTTAAAATATACTTTGTTGAAGTAAAATAAAAAAATATTCAAATTTAATATGAACATTATTGAAGTTATATCTATCAAACAGTTGAAAAATAAAAGAAAGTTATTTAACAAATAATAAAAAAATTAAGGGAAATGCTTTATTGTCATAAAAGTTTAGGTTTTTTTGACAAAGCAGGTTTAAGAACTAAAACAATCTGAAACATTAACATAAAGTTCAAGAATTTAAAACAAGATATTAATATGACTCGAGCACAATTTCCTAAGTTTTCTAGAAATTCTCAATGCTCTAAAAACACTTGAAAGGTTATCAAAAATATAAAATTAATGAATGTTTGGGAAAAATAAAGTTATGAACTTCAACAAGACCTGATCTCTGAACCAAATAGTATCACATTTTTAATAACTAGCTGAAAACACCATCTCTGTATGTTGGTGTTCTGTATACGTACTACTATATCACATTTATTGAGAAGAAAGAGAAAGATATTCTAATAATTTTTTTATGAACGATTAAAGATTAAGAAGTAAGGTTTCTGCTGATTATGGTTCATGTTGCAAAAATATGAAATGTCACAATGCCTGGTTGAATGGTGTTAACATGTTTGTGCTTGGAAAGTGTGGCCATGATTGCATGTATGTGTGAATATGATTGAAAGGTGTATGTATGGCTGAATGATGTACACGTGATCAGACAGCGTACACCTAGAAAGACGAATAACATTATTTATTGTTCTACAGAACTGTCACCTAGAGAGTCAAGACCCCAATTTGGCTCCACCAGCCACTTTGAGCGCGCCGCCTCCCCTCACCCCTATTAATACGTTGAAAACAGCTGGCGGGCATTCCACCACTACCCTACCAAAACTCCAGAGAATCCCCCGACCCGGCGACACTACCCCCCTCCCTCATATCGAACCTACCGCCCCGAACCCGCTCCCCGAACTCCCGAAACTAACACCGAGACCGGTTCAGTTGCCTGTCATTGTGACGCAGGCTGTCAAAGCAACAGAGCAGTCTTCTGGTTCGGAGAACAGGTCCCTGGTGGGTTCCGTGACCACTTGGTTGCCACACAACTCCAAAATAGTGGAGAGCACCAATGAGGAGCTCACTGAGGCTTCTAGGCCACAGTATGTCGAGTTTTTGGGAGGTAGGAAGTTCCTTGTCATTCCCAAGAACAACTTTATGTCAGTGTCGCCTACCGTGGCTGCTACAGCAGTCACCAGCCCGGATGTTGAGGTCGTTCCCACTGATTCTGCTCGGTTGGGATCAGAACCTGTTCCCGAAATCAAAGTAGAACCCGAATCTCCCTCCAAACCCGAAAACTCCCAAATGCCTGAAGCCATGGAAGTAGACGGCGAGTCATGTGAGAACAAGCAAATTGATGGTGGAGATCCTCCCAGAGGAGAAAATGGAGTCGAGGACCAGAACACAGAGTGAGTGTTTTTTCAGTATCTTTTTCTAATCTTTCTTTGAATTTGCAGGCTTTTCCACCTCCCACTCTTCCAATTTTACCAAATTTCCTTTGAGCGTAAACTATTCCAATACATTTAGATTTTTCAAAATTGGTTCTGTATGATTTTTGACGCAGAGTTGAGTTTTTTGTTTTTGTTTGTAGGAGTGTGAATAGGAAACGAAATTCGAATTATTTTAATAATTGGCAAATGATTATTACATTTTTTCAGGTCGCCCGGTTTCCACGAATGTGTGAACACGGTGTTGGGAAAGGTTATTTGGCAGAAATTTGTAAAAGAGGAACATTTGTTGATTTTTTAATGAGATATTCAAACATGAGCAAACTTAGATCTGTATAAAGTTAATTGTGGTCATGATATTACTGAAATTAATCTAACTAAATTTAATTATGTATCATATGAAAAATATAGCGTATTCAAAAAACACACTTTAATGTGAGATTTCAAGTGGAAATGTCACATCAAAGTGTTTTTTGAATTTGTTATAATGGGTTTTCATCAAGTATTGATCAGTACTATCATATTTTTTCCAAAATGATAGTAATTTCTCAATGAATTTTTAATTGGCTGTGAAGTGAGAAGAAAATATCTATACTGATGCTAGTAAGTTTGTTACAAAAGTTTGTCAATAAAAAAATTGTGTTCAAAACACTATTGGGAGATTTTAACATAAGCAACCTGATAAGAAGGTATAGTTTAGCAAAACTGTTTGCAATTTCATGAATTCTTTATGTGTAGATCTCAAAGTAGTTTTAATATAATAATCATTGATTTTCGTCAAGTGTAAATCCTTAAAAAATGAAATGAGCAAAGAGATGTACAGTAGAAAATTAGCAGATGTGTGTTATTGAACTGAGAAATGCTAATAAAATCTAGCTTCCATACTTGTAGCTTTGCTCAAGAGATGGAGCTGTTGTCAGTATTTGTAACTGAGAAGATTTAATAATAATAATAATGGTAATAATGACTTCATCAAAAATGGGTACATCCTAATATGCAAATAAACATTTTTACATGTTGGCATTAATAATTGAAACTCAATAATTACTGCACTGAAGTATAATCAAACATTGCTCTTCATTTTAAGAAAGTTCATTAACTCGTGTTTGAAGTTAGATAAAGTATTACATTGCTTCAATTCAGCTGGAAGTGTGTTAAACTCTAGAAACTCTTTCTGGAATAGGGAATTCATTGTTCTTGAATAGTTGGTACAAGGTTTACATAAGGTGTTACTAGTTCTTGTGTAGTAACTATGAACATCATAGTGGTATAGAAGAAATTGCCCGAAATATGATGGAGCTAGCCCTTTTGTTAGTTTGAATATCAATATTTTCGAAAAATAAAACTACTTGTCTTCTACTAATGACCAATCAAAACACACAAAGAATTGTTATGACGGGGAGTATATCGATTAAACCTCAAAAGAATTCACAAACTTCTGTTTTGAAGTTTCTGTAGTTACGCTATAGAGTAGTGATATTAACGAAGGGCAATATTTGTAGTGAAGCTGAATCATTGTTTTGAACACAGTAACTGAAAGTTAGTATGTGTTTGGCCTACAATTGACATTTAAGTCCCGGACACACCTTCGGCTTGATTGGATCTTTCCTGCACTGACGAGGGGTAATATCCCGAAACCAGTCTGCAAGTGATCCACTCAATTGATTTTAGCGAAGTTCTGCTGCTTTGGACAAAAAAGAAAAATCTGCACAGGTCCCACTGTATTGGGGGAGGCGAATATTTTTAATTTTATTCGTAAATTTTATTTTCTCAAACCCATCTATTTTCATTACTTGGTCACTTCTTTCTTCCAAATAGAAGTGTATGTATGGTTTCTTGAAATTCAATCAAATCTCTTCGAAGTGAAAACCTTTGGGCATTTTTAATATATCAAAATGAAATTTGGTATGCATATGTTTTTGTAAGTTGTTCATTTACTTTATCAATGTGACCAGAATAGAACTGATGACGATTTTGAAAAGTTTTTGATACAGTGAATTAAAGAATATTGGGAAAATCTTTCAGATATATTTTATGGTCAAATCATGTTTAATAAAAGTATTTTGTTTCCATTTAAAATTATTGTTTTTATCACTAGTTACTTTTTTTTTTCATTAACTAATCATTGGGTCTCTAGAATCATCTGCCCTGATTAGGTGCAACGAATAAAATATTTTAGTTCTCTGCCTTCTTTCTAGACTGTTTGTTGTGATAGTCTGTAGAATTTGGTGATCGATTCTTCATATTTTATTTGCTTCTGCTTTTAGAATGATATTCATTTCATGTATTTATTGATAAAGTAAATGTCAACTTCAACATACAATGTGTCCTATTCATAGTTGCTGAAAATGTGATTTCAACAATCTTTGAAGAGTAGGTGGAAAGTATCAGTATCGCATTGGCGTACTGTCTGACAGGGTAATAACTATTGTTGGTTTTCATTTTTATTTTTCTTGTTAAATTCATAAGTTATGTACATTATTAATTGTATAAGTAATTCTAATGGGTTTTATTTGTACGAACGTATCCTATATTGTGTACTTGATCAATCAGGACTTGATTTTTTTAAACTATAATATAAATCAAAATAGATTTCAGATTCAGCATTCTCAAACAGCCATTTAAAAACTTTCCAAAGGAGCATTCCCAAGAATCTCTACACAATACAATAAACAATTTCAAATAATAATTTTGAAAGCAAGAGTTGAAAATTGTATTTTTTACCTAGTAGTTGAATATTTTTAAAAAACGTCTTCAAATTCAGTTCATTAAATGTGCGTTATGTGCGTTAGCATGTGTATTAACAATATTATTTGATAAGACCGACATTTTCCATTTTTTTTGTGTCGTTCAATGGGGAATGTTCCTCCTGACGACAATCAAGTAGTTTTCATAAAAGAGCTCTAAAAAAAAGCATTTTAAACTTATCATTTCAACCTTTTTCATTATTTAAATACTTAAAAAAGAGGAATGAAATAATGCATTCAACATTTAAAGGGATTCGTTTCTATTTCACCATTTGGCAACATCGGTTATAGCTAATAAAGGACAATGAATCTGTTACCTGTATGAGACAAACAAAGATGACATATTTCAGAGGCGTGCTGTTCTGTTTATGTTCCGAGTTCCGAGACATTCTGTGACATATGACATTTTGTGCACCTAACCTGTCTTCCTCTATATAAATAAATAACAAAACAACTGTTGTTTATGTGGCTTATGGAGGTGGTATTGAATTATAATTTATATTTTGCCTTAATTGTTGATTTATAAAGATAATTTTCCTTTTTTAAAGTAGAGTATCTAGGTACGTATAAATTATTTCAACTTGATATAGGCGCTGTTGCCAATATGTGAATTAGAAACAAATCCCTTTAAAAATTAAAACCCAAAATTTGAAACATCAATTTGAATACTTTTCGAAGTGAATTTGAAAAACTCATGAATTGAACTCAACTTCATTTTGTTCAAACTTGCATTTGCTGTGATAACCCAAATTGAGGAACATTCCCCATTGTATTGTTATTTTGACCAGAGTTTCTCAACAATTAGTTGTGAGCTTCAATAAAGTCTATCTATCTAATCAGAAATGTTCTTACAAGTAAGATTGTTTCATTAGCGATGAACCAGGCAGTGGAAGGGTTACATTTTTCTGGATTTTGTCACTGTTCCCAAATTTATTGATATGTTTACGAATCAAGCTTACTGCCCCCAAAATGAAAATTTATGTTACAGGATTATGACTAGACTCTGCTATAAGTTGTTTATGAGCTAAATATATTTTCTTTTATTGTATAATAAAGTTTTCAAATATTGAATTTTAGTGTTGTATGAGCTATAATGAATCACGTGGGTGACTTACTTAATCTCTTTCCCTATCGAAAACTTAATGTCATTTTTCGATTTGTTCTAGAGCCAAGACCCAATCGACGCCCGTCGCCGTCAAAGCGAAGAAACGCACCATCAAACTGAGCAGCATCACCAATGCCGAAGAGAAAGAAGAGAACAAGTTCATGGAGAACTACCTGCAGAACCTCTCGTACGGCTACAATACGCTTCTCTACGTGTTCCAGTACCTGAAAGTGCAGGATCTCCTGCGAGCCGGTTGCGTCTGCACGATGTGGCGGGACATCGCCAGCCATCCCATGCTGTGGCGGACGGTGCGCATGAAGAACTCTCAGGTGCACAGCTTCGAGGGGCTCGCCAACACGTTGAAGAAGCATGGTACTAGGCACCTGGACCTGCGCAAGATGCTGCTGCCGACGGGAGGCGACGAGATCTGGCCTGAATTCTCAAAGGCTATTGAGAAGGTGGACACGCTCAGGAGGATTGAGCTGTGCAGGTGATATTACTGAATATTCTGAATATTGCATTCTTTTTCTTTCCTAATTTAATCCAATATTCTCAATACTTATTTCTAATGTCATTATTGGTATTACTAATATTCATTATTATTATTATCGAATCGATTTTCATTCTTTCTCTCTCAGGTGTCCGGCGTCCGTCGTAGAGAAATTGGCGGTGTCCAACCCACAACTGGAAGTCATCAATGCTGTGACAATCAAGTGCGAGACCATGGACTTGGCTCCGTTGAAGGCGCTCACTAATATCCGTGAGCTGCGGCTCAAGTCCACCGGAGGTTTAACACTCTCCTCTAACCTGGACTCGCTGAAGGAACTCAAGTTCCTGAAACACCTCTCTCTCACTTCGATAGGCGACTTGGACCGCTTGAACCTGAACGTGATTGGCGAGTTGACCAACTTGGAGTCGTTGGACCTGGGGGAGTGCACCGACTTCCCGAAGACCTTCGGCAGCGATATCCTCGTCAAGCTGCAGAAACTCGAGAAGCTACGGCTGGAGAAGGGTCAGGGTTTTTGCGAAACGTTTGAAATACTCGACTCCGTCAAGGACATGCCGAAATTGGAGCAGCTCGAGCTGGTGAACTTCGACATCAAGTCCGGCTTTGATAAGGCTCTCGGAGCGTGCCAGAACATCAGGAAGCTGCTTATTATTCCCACCTACATCTCGCAGGCAAGTGAATTCACACCTATAAATACACTACCTCTAATACCTGGTCTCAATGGATCTATTAAACAAGTCATATCTTATTGAGTATTAGGTGTATCAAAATAAGATTTGGTGAAGAATGAAATGGTTTCAATTCATAACTCTTTGGAATCATAACTTGTCCCTAAACCAAGTATTTCGTTTATTATTTTCCTATGGCACTGTGATAACATCTTTTTTGTGTTGACAAGTACTTGCTTTTGTAATACGGCATCATACAATATTTGTAAACCATCATTTCTCTAACAAATCTCTTCACAGAATCAGCAAAATACATAACTTCAATTTTATTCAATATTTAATGATTCAAAAGTAAAGTGGGTTGACAGAATCTGAAATTCACTCAGGTGTTGCCAAGTTGATAGGGAATGCAACCCTTGGAAATTTTCGTGCCCATCTAAATTTAAATTTATTTGAAAGTGCAACGGTCAACCGAACTTGCAATCTATAATACTGTAACAGAAATTATGAAAAATGTTGAGTTACATAAATGTGTTGGTGGCTTGTACATTGACCTTTCAAAGGCCTTCGATATGGTGAATCACAGGATTCTACTAAATAAACTAGAAGGATATGGTATTAGAGGCAAAGCACATGATCTCATCACCTCTTACTTATCTGGGAGATCACAAATAGTGGACGTTTCTCAAAATAATTCGTCGGCTCTTTCCACTAAAAACCCCATTACACAAGGAGTACCACAGGGGTCTATCCTGGGCCCCAATTCTTTTCCTAGTATATGCAAATGATCTCTCAAATTCACTCGACCCTGGACTAGTATACCAGTTTGCAGATGATACATCGGTTATAGTGTCATCTGAAGCCCCGTCTACCCTCTCCAGACAATTATCCCAAGCAGCTCAAAAAATGATTGATTGGTGCAAGGAAAATGACCTAAAATTAAATACAGGAAAAACAGGGCTTATAACATTCAGCAAATCCCAAAATAGGCTAGAATCGATGTATGCCAAATTGCTTAACAAATCTATTCCTGAAATAAGTGATATTAAATTCTTAGGGATCACAGTGGAAAATAATCTTACATGGGACATCCATCTAAACAAACTTAACTCTAGACTGGGTACTACAGTAGGTCTAATCCATGCACTGAGAGATCAAGTAACGTTAGATAGTCTGAAGATATACTATTATGTGCATATTCAATCTATTATTCAATACGGAATTATTTTCTGGGGATCATCCACACAGTCATATAAAATCTTCAAAACTCAAAAAAGGATAATTCGCTGTATGTTAAAACTACCTCATAGATCAACATGTAGACCACACTTCAAGATGCTAGACATATTAACAGTTCCTTCAATCTATTTTCTGCAATTAGTCATGTTTGTCAAAAAACATAGTATCTTCATGAGAAACTGTGATCTTTACTCAAACCAAATGACTATAAATACCAGACACAAGAATGAACTAAGCATACTGAGACATAATTCATCATTTTTTGAAAAAGGACCGCATTACAAAGCCATAAAAGCTTATCAACCTCTTCCAAGAGAAATTAGAAATACAGAAAACCACAACAAATTCAGACACTCAGTCATTGATTATCTAAAAACCAAAGTTTATTATAGTTTCGACAGTTGGTGATGGGTCTCTATGCGATTGCACCATAACTGAGTACTGCGCAAAATTCTTTTAAAAATTATTTTAATAGTCCTTCTTAAATTATCCAACATGTAATGTTGACCAATTATAAAAATTGTGATATGGGAACTGTAGTTGTAATAAATATCACCTATTGCAAATCTTAACCCATTGACGTCAATGTAGATTTATAGGAAGGATATTACTATTACTATTATTATTGTTACTATATTATTATTCAACCGTCTCATTTATTATTGTACTGTACCTTATTATACTATTATTATCATTATATATAACAAATATTGTAAATATCAAAACCTATTGACATTGGCTCTGTCCATTGTAGATTTATATGGCAATAAAGGATATTATTATTGTTATTATTAACATGTGGATGCCATAAATGTATACATCTCTTCTGACGATAAAAGTATTTTTCCCATGTTTTTTTTCTGCTTGAATTTCTATCTTTTTTTAACACCTTTCAAAATTGTCTCAATCAGAAAATATTTTGCATACGCGATAATCAAGTATAAAGTGTTATTTTGCACCAATAATAAAAATACATGCAAGTGGAATACTGTTTGCCGTATCTTGTTATGGTATTTTATGTAACCGAACTTGTCCTGTTGGTAAATTAATGAAAAAATAAATGTTACAGAGCGCCACCACCAACCACATGGTACTTGGCGGTGTGCTGAGGTTGCAGAAAACGCTGTCGCACTTCGTGTGGGGCGTCACTCTGGAACTCCTGCGGGTCACGGAGTTGTTCGTTGATCAGTGCGAGGAGCCGAAGGAGAAGAAGGAAAAGAAGCACGTTGGCAACGGAGACAGCATTCCCGTGCTGAAACCGGTACCTCTACTGATGGACAAGGGCAGCGAGATTGCTCCTGCGCTGGAGCCTCCCCAGGTGGAGATCCTGGCATTGCCAAGCTTGCAGAAACTGCTGATGCAAAACCTGCCAACGACGCGGGTCAAGATCCTGAAAATACCCTTTCACGCCACCTGGAGGCAAAGCATTACCGACTCTGTGAACTAAGAATAGGTTCTATGACTAAGGTTTACTGTTTAGAATAGGCATGTACTATTTTTAGAGTTAGTGATCAGGAGAATTTGCAATTTTAACCCTTTTTTTCCACAGTTGGAACTTTTATTTCAGATTATTACACCCTTGTACCGCAAATTTGCTGATACTTTTTAAAAGTGTATATGTACATATTAAGGCCAAATTCTTTTTTTTTTGTATAATTATGAATGTTTACATTACTACAGGTATGTCTTGTTTTTAAGTAAAGCTAAATTATTTTGAAAACTTTTTTTGAAAAACTCGTATGACTGGAATGGTTTGTATATATTTTTTTTCCAAAAAATACAGACTTGAAATCTGTACTTGCGTTTTTATAATCTCTATTCCTGTGCAACCAACAGCAAATAATCAACTTCAAATTGACTAGAAAGCGGGAAAAAAGTATTCAGAAGATTCAAAGAACAATGGGGAATGTTTTTCCTGATGAAAATCAAGTAGTTTTCATTAACAAGCTCTAAAACAACGCATTTTAAACTTATCATTTCAACCTTTATCTTTGAAAAATTATTTAAATACTTAAAAAAAGAGGAAGGAAATGATGCATTCAACATTTAAAGGGATTCTTTTCTATTTCACCATTTGGCAACATCGGTTATAGCTAATAAAGGACAATGAATCTGTTACCTGTATGAGACAAACAAAGATGACATATTTCAGAGGCGTGCCGCCGTTCTCTTTACTTATGTTCCGAGTTCCGAGACATTCTGTGACAAATGACATTTTGTGCTCCTAACCTATCTTCCTCTATATAAATAAATAACAAAACAACTGTTGTTTATGTGGCTTGTGGAGGTGGTATTGAACTATAATTTATATTTTGCCTTAATTGTTGATTTATAAAGATAATTTTCCTTTTTTAAAATAGAATATCTAGGTACGTATAAATTATTTCAACTTGATATAAGCGCTGTTGCCAATATGTGAATTAGAAACAAATCCCTTTTAAAATTAAAACCCAACATTTGAAACATCAATTTGAATACTTTTCAAAGTGAATTTAAAAAACTCATGAATTAAACTCAACTTTATTTTGTTCAAATTTGCATTTGCTGTAATAACCCAAATTGAGGAACATTCTCCATTGTTGATCATTGTCTATTGATAGTTCAATTAGAGGGAGTTTACTTACAAAAGGTCCGCTAGGAACTTAGACAACTTTTCGACAAATTTCAAACTACTCGACATTTTGTTACTTAACCTCCCACTTCAGGTCTCCAAAGAGACCGAACCATATTTTATTGAAAAAATTGTACCCTTATGAAGTGAGGAGCAAAGTAATAGGTTGGGTCAGTAACTATCTCACAAAGGGAGCAAGAACAGGCAAGGCACATTTATCTAAATTGAATGTGAGGTGTGGAATACCACCCGGATCTATTTTGGTACCGTTGTTTCTAGTTCTTTTAAATGATATACAACACCATCCCAAGACCGGGAAGGTTGTGAGGGTCACACTATTGGACCTGTCAAAAGCCTTTGACTGTGTTTCCCACAGCATTTAACTCGAAAAACTGTCATATTATGGTGTAAGAGGTAGTCCTTTGGGTTTGATTGAAACTAACCTGAATAATCGTTTCCAGAGAGTTTTTTATGACAATACATTTTCTGAGCTGAGGCCGATTGACCTAGGTGTACCGCAGGGATCGGTTTTGGGCCCGCTTTTGCTCGTTATTTACATCAATGATTTTTACAACTATATGAAGCCATGTCACAGTGTACTATTTACTGGCGATACATCCTTGATGTACTCTTTTATGAATTATTCAGCTCTTGTTGATAAGTCTATGGAAATACAAGAAAAAGCGGAGCACTGGTTCAGTGTCAACAAACTCATGATGAATAAGGAAAAACCACAAAACATGATAGTTCTATGGCTCTGCCATTACCTGAATTCTAGTGTGTCAAATTATTGGGTTTTACTCTGGACAATAGGCTAAATTGGTCCAGCCACATTTCAAGTTTGAAAAGTAAGCTATCGAGTGCCTTATTTTTACTTAGACAGCTGAAACCAATAACAATATTCACTACGTTGAAAATAGTATTTTGCTCGCTCATACAGTCTTTTATTTCTTACGGTATTCTACTTTGGGGAAATTTTATTTATTCCACAACAAATGTTTGAAATACAAACTAAGTAGAGAAAAGTATCTTCTGTATAATTCAGTGTTCATATAGAAGAATTTGTTTCGAAAGAATTCTTTCTTTCGTATAATTCAATGTTTATATGAAAGTAGCTGTTTCAGGAGGACTTTCTTTCAGTTTGTGTCTGAAAGTTTCTTCTTTGCATGATCTACACATCCATGCATAGAGTTACTTCCTTCCTTTCTTTGGAAGACTCCCTCATCCTTCTTTTTTTTTGTATCAAGATGGAGTAGTAGAAAGCCAAAAACTTTCTTTCCCAAAAACTTTGTAGTTCCTTACACTTTGTTAAATATGTTTTTGTATATTGGCTTTGCCGTTGAAGAAATAAATAAATAAATAAAATTTACGAAAAAATTGCATGGCATGAGCTAACTGATATTCCGATGTCTTCAGCAACTTTTCATATAGTGATTCGACGATTATCCCTCACAATTTTCTTCACTTTCTCAATATTTTTATCAGTTGTTGATGTGTTGGGGCGTCCAGGACGTCCATTCATATCTTCTCGACCTATGAAAAGCTTGTACTTATACCACTTGCAAACATTTTTCTGACAATCACCGTATGCCACTGCGTCAACATTTCAAGTATTTTTGAGCACCTTATTCCATTTTTCACACAAAATTTGATTCAAATTCTTTGATTAATTTTTTTTAGATAGCAGAAATATTTTGTCTAAAGATGGAGAAGTAAAAAGTCAAAAAGCTATTTTCCAATCGATATCAAGATTAGAACTTTTCTGAAAAAAAGTATCACAAATGAAGAAACTATATTAGGAACTTGAATTTGTTATGTCGGTTTTATTCTAGACTAGTATGAATTTCTGAAGTTAAACTCAAATTATACCATTAGAAATATGAAACGATTTCTATATTTTTCTGTGCCGAAAACCATAAGAATAAATACTGCCTTAAAAAAGAGAAAAGTATTTTTATTGGATCAAAAGAATATATATTCCATCAAGGTTTGCCTCCTTTAACAATAACAAAAATATTTTAAGTTTAACAGCATAAAGCATGAAAGTATGGTTTACCTACAGTAATTATAACAAGTTTGCAACAAACATCACATTTACACTGATTAATATAAATTATTGACATATATTCATACCAGCGACCTGACTCGCTCAGCAGGGGTAGCAAAACATATATGTCTACATATATGTGTCGAAGTTTTGTCTTCTAGAAACTTCTAGAACAGCCCAGAACATTCGAAAGTCTTTCACTAGTTCGGACTTCCATTGTCTACTATATAAAATGATTTGAAATCAAATCATTTTATATAGTAGACAATGGAAGTCCGAACTAGTGAAATTCATCATGAAACATTGTCAATCACCTTCAAACAATTCGAAAGTCTGTTTTGTCTGTTTTTCCGTTATTCAGCTGTCCCCCGCCATACGAACGAAAACTCTCAGAAGTTGAGAAACTTGTGCGAGCTAAGGACTAACAAGGTCTTACCTTTTAACGTGTGATTCCTAACACGGTTGCAGAATCATCCCAGCTTCAACCAGATACATTCTTCCGAGAAAAATATCTGGTCGAGGCAGGAATCGAACCCACGGTCTTCCGATCGTGAGTCGGGCGCACTACCACCACGGCCAATTCCACAACATATTTGAAACATTCCACAACAATCCAGAACATCTCGGAATATTCTGGAATCTGGTGGAATGTTTACGGATGTAAATGCAATATTGGAGTTCATAAGTGGTTTCCACATTCAAAATGTTGAAATTGTTATATTCATATTTTGTATATGTAGGTATATGACAGAGAAACAGAGTAAATATTTCTCATGACTCAATTTATAGAATTTGGAGTGGATTGACATATTAAAGACACGTAGCAAACCACAGGACAGTTAATTTTTTTTTAAGTGACAGTGGACGAGTATGAAAAATATTTATTTAGAAATACGATTTCGAAAAAAAAAGTCGTAATTTCAGAGAAAAGCGATATGTCTTGCATGAAGCGGTGTTAATGAAAAAGAGTAAAGAAAAGTTATCAGACATAGGTTAGGTGTGGGAAAAATTTAGATAGGAATAGGTAAGACAACAAAAAAGTCAGGCTGAAGAAAGTAGTAGAGGAAGGCAAATATCACGAGATAGAGGTAGAGTTAGAGAAAAAATATGAGCAAGGCGTGAGTAGAATCAAGAAAATGATTGTTCAGAAGCGCAGATAGACGTTGAGAAAAATATTAGGCAACAATAGTGACAGTTAGTAGTAAACAGGGGATAATGAACAGATAAAAACTGAGGTGAACGAGAAGAAAGAGAGAAGTTGGGATCAGAAAAAAAATACTGTGGAGAAAGAGAAAGAGAGAAAAAGAGGGGGTAGAAGGCAGAGAAAAATCAATGGCATCAGTTTGAAAACCTGAGCACTTCCTTGTAGCCTGTTGAGAGAGAAGAAGAGAATTATAATAATATCTAACGAAAGAAAATTTTATAACAAAAATGAAATATACAGAAATTCTAACAATTCTTATATATTGGGATTCCATTCAAGCAGAAAAATTCTAAAACTGATAAGTTAGAACAAAACGCAAGGACAGTGATTGAATGGCCCTTTGTGACAAATCGTATTTGGAAATAAATAATTGAAATTTGTTTTCCTCACACCAAGAATTGAACGATTCATCAACTAGAAACTCCGTAACCGTTTTTATGGCATTTACAGGACACTGGATTTTTACTTTTCGTGACAACAACATTCCTTTTCATTTATATCTACCTACATCGTTTAAAAAAATCTAGATAATTGACAATTATTCACGTTTGATCCGTCGGGCTTCGACACAGTATGGTTGTTGTACTGATAATAGTGATCAACAGAAAAATCGCCAACAGTATTCTATCCAAGACGATCGAGGCTTGCTTCCATTCTAGCTCGGTCAGCTCTCTTCTGTCTTGATCTATCATCCTCTGATCGTTTTTGTCGATGCTGGCGTGTACTTTGTTGAGAATTCGAAGAATCTGGTTTTCGAAAACATCTGAAAAAAAAACAATAGTACGATGAAAATTTACTATACTCTTAGTTACAATACATTTGAATAAATCTAGTTGATTGTATCATACTCATTGAAACTTATGAAAAAGAAATTTGAGTGTTATCGAAATAGAAATGACTATTTCAATATGCCAGATTATTTTTGAACGGGAAAGCGTGAAATGAAATGAGAAGTGGACCTAGTATAGACACTTGAGGTACTCCATAGACATAACTCTAACCTAACCTAACCTCATAAGACCGGTAGTTTCGTATATAAATACTCCGGTAAGAGAACTAGGAATACGTCTGCTAAACAAGTTGTTCAAAAATATTACCAATTTCGTCCCACCTCACAGTATTAAAAATTCACTGACTTTAGTAGAAAACATAAGGAACCAAACCACGCCACATAATTCAATTTTAGTTTCATTCGACGTAAAGAGTATGTTCTCCAACATACCGTACAACGAGTGTAAGCCCCTCATTTTAGACATATTAGATCAAGCCAAAGTAGACCATGTCACTTCCTTTGAAGTTTCAACAGCTTTCGATGTGTGCCTGAATCAGAGCTACCTGCAGTTCAACAACAAATTCTATAAACATGATTCAGGTTTACCGATGGGCTCACCCCTTAGTCCACTTTTAGCAGACATATTTATGAACAACTTGGAGACCACTATAGTAAACTCCGACCTGGGTAAAAAACATATTCATTTTTGGTACAGATATGTAGACGATATTCTTGCCTGTTTCAGAGGTACTACACGACAGCTGAACCAATTTATGACATTCATGAACAATCTCAATAGCAACATTCAGTTCACACTCGAAACAGAGATAGAGAAACAGATAAATTTCTTAGACCTGGCCATTACACACAATCAGAATAGATTCGAGTTTAATGTTTTCAGAAAACCTAGCTATACAGCTATACAATCTAGCTAGAGAAATTGGTACAATTACACAGATAGGTCATAATAATGGTTTCAACGCAGACACTATCCAGAAGTTAGTCAGGAAACAAAGCCGAAAATTCAGTTACCGATTAATATATCCTCAGGTCAAACGACCAGAAATCAAGAAATGGGTAACGCTAACATATTTTGGAAAAAAAAATAGAAATAATCGCAGGTTTCTTCAGAAAAAACAATGTGGAAGTAGCATTCAGACCACATGCCAGGTTATCTCATTTCATTTTCAATGTCAAAGATAAGGTCGACAAGTTGGAAAAAATAGTGACCACATCCTCATGAATAATTTTCTTGCTAGCATCAAATGGGAAACTTTATTACTTGAAAAAGATATAAATTCATCTATAACGAATTTTTATAATGTACTATATGATGCAAACTATCATTTTGTTCAGATAAAAAAGTTCAAATCCTCAAATTTTCCTAATTGGTTCAGCAAAGACTTGAAGAAAAGCATACTCGATAAGAAAATAGCACACAGAGAATATAAAAGTGGTGATGTAGAAGCATTTCATAGATTTCAATATCTCAGATCTCATTGTAAAACCATGCGAGATGAGTGCTATCGTAGATATATTTCAAAAACCGAAAATAATAATAATATGTCAACTAATCCCCGATACTTCTGGAAATATATTAATGATAAGAAGAAACTTTACAATCTCCCTTCCCGTATGGTTTATGATGATATCTCTACTGATAACGCTAATGAAATAGTTAATCTTTTCTCAAAATTTTTGTCAACAATTTATGACAGCACTACGGTCAATGAAATCCCCAAATTCAAATTTCAAAATGTTGCTGACGTCTGCCACTATAATATAGATATCAAGGAAGTTATAGATTTAGCTTTGAAACTACCATTTAAACTAACAACAGGTCCTGATAAGATACCCTTGCACCTGATTGAAAATTGTATTTATACTCTAGCAAAACCACTACACTGGCTATTCAATCTTTCTATTGAAAAAGGAATATTCCCAGAATTTTGGAAACAAAGCTATATCAAACCAGTTCATAAAAGTGGACTTCGTAACAATGTTAAAAACTATAGAGGCATATGCAATCAGTCAGAGTTGCCCAAAATGCTGGACTGTCTAATCACTAGAAAACTTTCATTCGATTTCAGAAACATCATAATCAATCAACAACATGGTTTTACCAAAGGGAAATCAACTTCTACGAACTTATTACTTTATGAAAACTACATCATAAATAATCTTGAAAATAGGCTACAAGTGGACTCTATATACACAGATTTTTCTAAAGCCTTTGATAGAGTCAACCATAACCTACTGATTGCTAAGTTGAGTGCTTTGGGTTTAGAGGGAGATGTTTTAAATTGGATTGAAAGCTACCTTTACAATAGAGTTCAATACGTTAAATATGGCAACTCTATATCTGAACCGATAAATGTGCCATCAGGTGTTCCTCAGGGATCCCACATAGGCCCATTACTGTTCAATTTATTCATCAATGATGTCTCCACTGTTTTTACCTCCAGCTCATTTCTAATGTTTCCAGATGATTTAAAGGTGTTCAAATCAATACAAAATATATCAGATGCTCAGGCACTTCAATGTGATTTGGTACAGTTTTCTAGCTGGTGTGACGTCAACCTTTTGCATTTGAATCCGGATAAGTGTCAAAAAATTACTTTCTCAAGGATCAATAATGTATATGATTACTCGTATAAAATCAATGGGAATGATTTAGCAGTAACGGATAAAATAAAAGATTTGGGTGTCGTTTTTGACTCAAAAATGTCATTTAAGTACCAAATAACGGAAGTCTCATCTCGAGCCCGTAAGATGTTAGGCTTTACACTTCGTTCTGGTAGAGACCTAAGTGTCGAATCTATAAAACTGATTTATTGTGCACAAGTGAGATCCATTCTTGAGTATAACTCCATTGTATGGTCACCCTATTATAATGTTGATGTTGAGTTGTTAGAGGGGTGTCAAAACAAATTCTTGAGATATGTTGCTTTTCAGTTAGGATTAAATAGAGGAGAGTATAACTACTCACAGATATTGATCATATTGAACATGAACACCTTAACTCATAGGAGACTTGAAACAGATCTTGTGTTTGTCCACAAAGTATTAAACGGCTATATTGATTCTCCAGAAATAGTTGAGCTTTGTACTACTCTCTCTGTGAATGATAGAAGAACCAGAAATAGTGATATTTTTAAAATTCCTTTTTGTAGAACCAATTATGATCAGAATGAAACAATATGTAAGATATTGAAATCAGCAAATCATTACCAACTTAACCTGGAATTGTTTAATTCATCATTATTATCCTTCAAAAAATCGATTAAAAACATCTGATGTATCTTTAGTTTGTAAGCACATGTACAATTTATAAAAAGATAATTGTAAAAATTGGCTTGTCCGTTGAAATAAATAAATAAATCTGGAGTTTATAAGCTTAAATGTCCGGAGTGTAATAGTGTTTATATGGGACAATGCGGATGAAATTTTCAAAAACGGTATGCTGAACATGAAAGGTCCTTCAGACTAGCAAAAAATGATTCAACGTTTTCAAATCATTCCTTGGCATGCAACCACAAGTTTCCGAATCTAAACGATACGGAAATTCTGCAATATGCAAGGAAGGGTTGCAAACTCAATTATTTAGAATCCTTGGAAATTTACAAGCATGAACATTGCGGGTGCAACCTGTTAAATGATCAAATCGATTTAATTTACTCTCCGGTTTTTGAATTGGCACATCCGCATTGTGAACTGTAAATTCCATGTACTCAATCAAGTACCTGAATGGTATACAGTACGATGCAAATGTATGGAATACATTCGATATTCACAAAAGGAGCGTCTTTCGGAAGAAATCCAAAAACAGGTCAACTTTAATTTTTGACGGCCCATCTCATGATATTCATATGAAAGACGTTTCGTCACCAGTGTTGGCGTGATGACGTAATCGACAATTTTTTTAAATGCAAATAGGGGTCATGTGGCACCCCATTCAAAAGGTCTACTAGTCGTCTATTCAACGATATAATGGTTTCAATATGTATTAATACAGGGTCAACCGAAATTATGTATTCAGAAGACTGGAATTACAAATAATAGTAATTCGTTGAACCAAATAATGCTATGCACCGCCACTGAGAATAAAGTATCGTACTGTTTTCTATTGTTTTTGTTGATTAGAAAAAAGAAATGGACTCTACTTGAGATTAGTCAATGTCATTGAAGTGAAGTATCATTGAAGCGGTTGACATTATTTCTAGAAAAATATTTAAATCATTTATAATCTGGCAATGAAAGTAACAGAAACCCAAAGAATCGAAATTTTAATTATGATTGGCTGTGGAGATAAAGTAAGGACTCAGGCCGAAGTTCGTGGTTTATTAAATGCGAAATACCCCAACCGAGAACCCGTTTCTCAATCAACAATAAGTAAAATTGAGAAAAAGTTTCGAGAAACGGGCCATGTTAAAGATCTCCCTAAAAGTGGTAGAAAATCAATTTCAGAAGTCCAAAAACTTGATGTGGTACTTGTGTTCCAAGAAAACCCCCATACCAGCACGAGGCAAGTCGCACTGGATAATAATTTACACCAATCGACTGTTGTCGTATAAAGTTCAGCTGGTCCAAGAACTGTTAGAAGATTACTTTGACAGAAGAGTCGAATTTTGCGAAATCATGATGGAGCGCTCGCACAGAGATCGGAGTTTCATACAAAATATAATATTTTCAGATGAAGCTACTTTTATGCTCAACGGTCACGTAAACCGTCAGACTTATCGATACTGGGCAAGAGAAAATCCACATTGGATGGAGGAGCATAGCACACAATATCCACAAAAAGTGAATGTTTGGGCCGGAATTTTGAACAACCAGATAATAGGACCATACTTTTTTGAGGAAAGCGTAACTGGTGCTCGGTATCTACACTTTCTTCAAGATTATCTGATGCCACAAATGAATCAGCTATTTCCAAATAGAAATGATTTGTGGTTCCAGCAGGATGGGGCGCCCCCACACTACGCCGTTGA